CACCAGCAGGAAGTAGCGCTCGTCCACGGACGCGGGCTGGGCCCCACACGTCCATGTGAAGAGTCTGCAGCGGAGCCTCTGTCGGCGGAAACTCGGAGGAGTGAGGAGCGGCGCGCTGCCGCCCCTCGACGCAGGGGACACAGGTAGGGGCAGGCCCCGGGAGGAGGGGAGGGAGCGACCGGGGGAGACCAGAGACCAGGACACGAGAGGCCATGCCTCGGAGACGAGGCAGGGAGGGGTGACCAAGACGGTGGTGCCAGAGAAGAGTCTCGTGGGACAGGAGGCGACACGAGCAGGGGGCAGACTCAGGACCAGACCGAGACGCCGCAGCAAACACCTGACCCGACGCAGCTACCTGACCAGGCACAGCAACCGGAGGAGACTCGGTAGTGAGGGTGTACAGGCTCGACCCCGGCCGACGGGTAAACGTGGCCAAGTGTCGGCCCGTGTCCGCACACGTGCAGTGGGTCACCCGCTGACGCGCAGGGGTGAACTGGTCAACCCCCCCATCCTGTAGGTCAGCACCCGCCACCAAGTTCGTAGAGAACGAGGGGAGGTAAAGACCCGACAAGGAGCCAGACGGGACTGCTAGACACGGTAGTACAGTGGAGTAGTGGGCAAGAACAGGACCCCCAGAGGGGTCTGCCAGGGAGACTGCAACCGGCCGACTGAGCGGCGTGAGAGTGGTGCGGTCTCGAAAGAAGGAGCGAGAAGCACCCGAGTCAAGGGTGAAAGTGTGCGACGCCGGAGCAGACGTGGTACCTGAGAGAGCAGACTCACCAGCACCTGGAGCAGCAGACTCACTAGCACCTAGAGCAGCAGCTGCACCGCCCGGGTCGGGCGGAACACTCAGGGAACAGTCACCGGCATCACTAGTAGACAATGCATACATGGCAGTAAGGATAGCATCATAGTCAAGAGCATAGATATCTACCCTCTGCCGGAGCAGCTCCACCCAGTCGGGGAGCTCAGCCGCGTCGCCAAACTCTGTACGCCAGGCGTCGCTCAGACTGGCGAAGCAGCGGGACTCTGTGTGACCAAACGTCCCGCAAGGCTGGCCAGTCCGAGCACCAGTGCGAATGACGTACGGGCAGCGAGCAGAACCCCGTGACCCCCCCCGCTGAAAGTACCACTCATGAAGCTGCGAGGGCGAAGGGACCGCGCGCACACGACGCTGCAGCTGCACCTGGCCACTACAAGAAGCCCCGACACTACTCACGCCAGAACGACTCCCACTACGGCCACCCCGACAACCCCAACGAGCGTACCACTCATGAAGCTGTGGGGGCGTGAGGGACTCACGCGGACGGCGCTGGAGCTGCATCTGGCCACGCCAGGAGCAGCAGTAGCAGTAGAAAGCGCAGGAGCAGTAGGAGCAACACGAGCAGCAGTAGCAGCAGGAGCAGCAGTAGCAGTACTAGCAGCAGTAGTAGCAGAAAGAGCAGTAGCAGCAGGAGCAGCGGTAACAGCAGTACAGGCAGGACAGTGCTCACCAGTGGCAAGAAGGGCAGGCGTACGACGGCGGCAACGGCAACGCCGGCAGCACTGCAGAGCGAGGGCTCCGCGGCAGCTGCAGGGGGGGGGGGGGGGGGCGGGCAGCTGCTCCAGGGGCGGCTGCTCCAAAAACCAGGGGCGGCTGCTGCAGGGGCGGCTGCTCCAGGGGCCAGGGGCGGCTGCTGCAGGGGCGGCTGCTCCAGGGGCCAGGGGCGGCTGCTGCAGGGGCGGCTGCTCCAGGGGCAGGGGCGGCTGCTGCAGGGGCAGCTGCTCCAGGGGCCAGGGGCGGCTGCTGCAGGGGCGGCTGCTCCAGGGGCCAGGGGCGGCTGCTGCAGGGGCGGCTGCTCCAGGGGCCAGGGGCGGCTGCTGCAGGGGCGGCTGCTCCAGGGGCCAGGGGCGGCTGCTGCAGGGGCGGCTGCTCCAGGGGCCAGGGGCGGCTGCTGCAGGGGCGGCTGCTCCAGGGGCCAGGGGCGGCTGCTGCAGGGGCGGCTGCTCCAGGGGCCAGGGGCGGCTGCAGCAGGGGCGGCTGCTCCAGGGGCCAGGGGCGGCTGCTGCAGGGGCGGCTGCTCCAGGGGCCAGGGGCGGCTGCTGCAGAGGCAGCTGCTCCAGGGGCCAGGGGCGGCTGCTGCAGAGGCAGCTGCTCCAGGGGCCAGGGGCGGCTGCTGCAGGGGCGGCTGCTCCAGGGGCAGGGGCGGCTGCTCCTACAGCAAGCAAGTAGCAGCAGCTGCAGCAAGTAGCAGCAGTGGCAGCAAGTAGAAGCAGCTGCAGCAAGTAGCAGCAGTGGCAGCAAGTAGAAGCAGCTGCAGCAAGTAGCAGCAGTGGCAGCAAGTAGAAGCAGCTGCAGCAAGTAGCAGCAGTGGCAGCAAGTAGAAGCAGCTGCAGCAAGTAGCAGCAGTGGCAGCAAGTAGAAGCAGTAGGTCAGGGCGGCGTGGCTCGGGCAGGTAGGGCGGCGCAACGGCAGGCCTATGCACGGTGCGCGGCGGCGCCGTAGGGTGCAGCTGCGCGCAGGCCGCAGCTGGGTTCGTGCTGCAGCGAAGCGCGAGCTGCAGCCAAGCGCGAGCTGCAGTTAAGTACGAGCTGCAGCAGCCTACACGCGATCGTCACTGCGCGCGGGCTGCGACCTGCGGGCGGGCGGCGGTGGGTCGAGCGCCGTCCCAGGGGCGAGCGGTCGAGCGTGGGCTGCAGTCGCGCGCGGGCGGCGGCCTACGGGCGGGGCTGCGTCGCGCTGGAAGGCCAGCCGGGCCGGTCGACGGGCGGCTAGCGGGCTGCTCGTGGGCGGGGCTAGTCGCGCGGGCGGCCTACGGTCGTCGCGCGCGCGATTCGGGCCGCGCGCGGGCTGCTGGCGGGCTGCTCGCGCTAGAAAAAAGAAAAGGGGCCACGCGCGGGCGGCTAGCGAGCTGCGCACGGGCAGCGTGAGAGAGAGAGGCGCACGAGGGCGCCTCTAGCGGAATGGTGGGCCCTTAGGTAAGTGGTCCTAGGTCTAGAACCTAAGCTCTTAATACCATCTCAGAATAGTGTGAAGGTGTGTGGATTAGGGTTTGGAGGGTGGTACAAACAAGTGTCGAGCAAGTTTCTGTACCCCCTAAGGCTAAACCCACTACAGCCTACATAATATTAAACATATAATTTGACAGTTTCATGAGAGCACGCACATGTGGATGTGAATGGGCTTTCTGCCCCTCCATTCTCATTTCAACCTGACCCAAGCTTGGCTTCATTCACAATACAATACATGAGCGTCATGCACTATCAGTATCCCTTACCCTCTTCCCACTAGCATCACTCAATGCAGCTATCACGTGCCGTGTGGTGGGGAGCGTGTCTCGCACACTAGGCAAGTGGAACGGCGCTCGCTGTGTGCTCTCAAACAGCCACGGAGTCAAAACACTTTTGAACTCATCAAAGCTAGTCGCTAGTAGCCCCTCCCAATCCACCTGTTGTGGCCCAGTCAGGGGTGGAGAGGGGTGAAGAAGGATACGATGAGTCAGCCAACAAATTAAGATGTAGAAGGGGAGCGGCGAGCAATGGAGGCTCTACCAGCAGCGTTAGGAAGCGAGAAAGCGGTGCAGAAATGCATCTCAACAGCGATAAAAGGAGGCTAGCAGCGGAAGGAAGGAGGTGGCAACAGCGGCACCAGGCTGCACTCACCAGGATATCCCGAGGAACGTGCGTTGTGGTTTCCATGTCAGCAGCCATGGAGAGGCCGAGGATTGACATGAGACCCACCATGGCTGACCCTCGTGATAGCGGCATGAGCTGGAACCTGCGGGGCACGGAGAAGGGAATGTGGATAACCATGGCTTAGACGGGGCGAGGTGTGCTGGACTAATGAGCTGCAGAGACGGCAGGGCCACCAATACTAAGTCACAGCGAGGATCTGATCTGGGATGCGCCGGCCATACGCATGCAGGCGGGTGGGCGGAAAGTGAACCCACCAGTCGCAGGCGATGGCGATGATATGATCCTGGATGTGCTGCTGAAATCCATGTGGGCAGGCGGCAGGCAGACTCACCAATAATATGCGATGCCGATGATGTGATCCTAAATGCGCTGGCGGTATGCATGTGGTGGTGATATACATGCAGGCAGGGGATAGGCGGGCAGACTCACCAGTAATAAGCAATGGCGATGATGTGATCCTGAATGCGCTGGCGGTACAGGTGTGGTGAAGTGGCCTTGGTGTGGTGGTCCAGTGAGGCCTTCATGAATCCCTGCCACGCTGCTGTGAGCTCCGAGTCAAACGCGTTCCACCGCGTCGCATCAATGGGGGTCACCGTGTCAAAGTCCACTGCCAGGGGGCTGCGGCAGGGAACAGGGGAATGAGGGAACGGGGGAATGAGGGAACGGGGGAATGAGGGAGCAGGGGAGAGTGGGGAGAAAAAGGTGGGGTGTGTGTTGTGAATGGGAGACGAATGAGGGGAAAGATGGGACAGAGGAGCAAGGGTGAGGAGTGAGCAGGTGATGTGGGGCGTGATGTGTGTGTGCAAAGGGGAAGACTCGAGAGTGCATTGGCATGCATGGACATAACTTAGTTGTGTATGTACGTGTGTGGATGCGTGCATGCGTGTATGTGCGCATGTGCGCATGTGTGCATGCGTGTACGTGTGCACATATGACAGAGGCAACGAACTCACCGTTTCCGCAATCTCAACTCGGTGCCGCCCAGATCCTTTCTGTAAACGAAAGTGGGCAGGGAGGGAAATCAATGCGGACTCAGAAGCAGTACACGTGCAGGAAGCAGGAAGAAGAGTCAACAGGAAAGGAGGAGTTATGAGGCGCCTCAATAAGAAGGGAAGAAAGGAGGGGGAAGGGGGGGAGGGGGGGGGGGATCAATGCAGGGAAGGAAAGACTCCGAGCATTCAAAGAAGGGCTGAAATGCGATGGAGGTGGGATTCTTCAGGGCTGAAAGGGCAAACCAGGTGACACATTTCAAGGGCGTGAGATAGCGCTATGTGGCGTGACATAGCACGGCAGGCATACTAACCCTGGGAATGACCGGCTGTAGCATGGCAGGCGTGCGTAAAAGTCCCGACCAATCACGTTGAAGATCCCCTCGTGATCCTCCGCTGCCTCCAACTGTTGGAATGTTCAGCGAATGTTCAGGGAACGTTCAGAGCATGTTCAGGGAATGTTCCGGGAATGTTCAGGGAGCGTTGACTCTTTAATGTCACTGACAGACCAATCAGAACAGCCCCTCATGACCCTCATGGGGAGCATGGGGGGCATGGGTGGCATGGGTGGCATGGGGAACATGGGGGGCATGGGGAACATGGGGAACATGGGGAGCCTGGGGAACATGAAGGGCGTGGGCCACGGGGGGGATGGCAGGCAGGAATTCGAGAGGGTGGTGCAGCATGAATATAGGGGGTTGAGATGTGAGAGGGTGGTGTGGTTGAGCTGAGAGCACACACCTGAGCACCGAATGTGGAGCGAGGCACGTCGAAGGGCTGGTGCGTGTTGGCATCAAATGCCCTCTCTGATTGCAGCAGGCCCTGCCTCGTTACGTTCACTGCCCTGTGATGGGTATGGGGGGAGAGAAAGAAGCACAGGGAGCGAGAGAAGGGAGGGCAGGGAGGGCAGGGAGGGCAGGGAGGGCAGGAGACAAGGGAGGGAAGGAAGAGGGCATGGAGGCGAGGGACGGAAGGCGGCATGGGAGGAGAAGGGTGTCACACTCTAAACTCACTTGGGGTAAACAGCGAGGTATCTCGCAGTGCCCATGACCCAGGTGAAAATAGGCGTATCAGTGCGATAGAGCATGTCAGCGGGCCAGCGCTGCCCCTTGCTGAAGGCCTTCCAGGCGATGGGCTCCATGGCGTCTGACACCTGCCTCCACGCCACCAGCACCCGGAACACATGCCGCCAGCTCGTCACCAGGTCAGATCGGTCCAACACACTCCGCCCACCCCCGCTGCTGCTGCTGCCACCGCTGCTGCTGCTGCTGCTGCCGCCGCTGCTGCCGCCGCCGCCGCTGCTGCTGCTGCTGCTGCTGCTTTGTCGGCTGCGGCCTGTGCGCTTCCCGCCTTGCCTGTCCTGAAGCGCTTGCTCCACCTGCCCACCTTGCCTCTGCTGAAGCGCCTGCTCCAGCTGCTCCTGCCAATGCTCATCCGCCCCATCCGGCCCGTGGGTGCCGAAGAGCAGAGGGGCGATGCGCATCTGGTCTGCTATCAGCAGCAGCGTGCGCCGCACCTGCTGCATCACGTCTAGTGATGCCAGCCCTGCCATGCGCAACTGTATGTGGGATGGGGGGGGATGGGAGAGATATATTGGATGAGAGGGTTACACGGAATAAGCATCAGCGTTCGCCTCACCTGCTGCATCACGTCTAGTGATGCCAGACCTGCCATGCGCAGCTGAAGGGTGGGAGGGAGGAAGAAAGCAGGGGATGGGGGAAGAAGAGAAGGGAGTTGGAGGTGAGTGGTAATGGTAATGATAACAGTAATGGCAATGGTAATGGTAATGGTAGTGGTAATGGTAATGGTAATGGTAATGATAATGGTAATGATAATGGTAATGGTAGTGGTAATGGTAATGATAATGGTAATGGTAATGACAAAGGTAATGGTAATTGTAATGGTAATGGTAATGGTAATGATATAAGTAATGATAATGGTAATGGTAATGGCAGAGGTAATGGTAATTGTAATGGTAATGATAATAGAAATGATAATAGTAATGGTAATGGCAAAGGTAGTTGTAATGGTAATGGTAATGGTAATGGTAATTGTAATGGTAATGGTAATGGTAATGGTAATAGTAATGGTAATGGTAATGGTAATGGTAATTGTAATGGTAATGGTAATGGTAATGGTAATGGCAGAGGTAGTTGTAATGGTAATGGTAATTGTAACGGTAATGTAGGCGGGCATGTAGCCCTGCTGCAAGCAAGCCTTGCATGCCCAGAGGTTGCCACATAGGTGTGCTAGAGTCGACTCAAGACACACGTCACAACCAGCATCACACTGCCTGTGCAATGCCACGCCACGCCACGCCACGCCACGCCATGCCATGCCATGCCACGTCATACCATGCGATGCCACACCAAGCCACCATTTCAAGTGCACCTGTTGGGTATTATGCAGCATGCCATCCGTGTCATAGTACGTGCGAGCAGTAATCACATCCGCCATGACAGGCACTATCATGCCAGGCCATGACATCATGCCACCATTTCAAGCGCACCTGCTGGGTATTATGCAGCATGCCATCTGTGTCGTAATGCGTGCAAGCACCAATCACGTCTGCTACCATATGACAAGCATTATCATGCCAGGCCATTACATCAAGCCATCATGCTACGCGCACCTGCTGGGTGTTATGCAGCATGCCATCGGTATCATAGTGCGTGCGAGCACCAATCACGTCCGCCGCTTCCACCAGCTGCACTGCCGCCCGGGACAGGCGTGGCAGGTGCTGCCACGTGGCAGCTTGCAACTGGTCCTCGGGGATTGCCAGTGGGACAAAGCCCGGCACATTCTTTGGACGCCCCCCTGTGGCCCACTTGCCCTGGCGCCCATGGGGGGAGGGGAGAAGAATGGGGGGGAGAGAGTGGAGAAGGGGTGAGAAGAGCCTGCTTTTGAGTCGACTCAAGAGGAGCCCGGCACATTCTTTGGACGCCCCCCTGTGGCCCACTTGCCCAGGCGCCCATGGGGGGAGAAGAGGAGGAAGAGGGAGGTGGACAAGGGTTGGGCTATTGCAATGCAGTCGGTGGGAAAATGTCAAGTAAGACGAGCAGAGGTAGAGACTGTGCCTTCCATCCCAGCACCCCCATCCCGCGTCTCTGACCGCCTTCCCCACCCATGTCCCTCTCTCATTCTTCTCTCCCTTTCCCTCTCTCCCTTTCCCTCTCCCCCTCCCCCTCACTCACCCGCCACTCCTCATCAAGGTCATCGTCAATGCGGAAGGCAGAGAAGGGCTGGTCCAGGCAGGACACCGTGTAGGCCAGCAGGTGGCGCTGGAAGAAGGCCCTGTCGCGGTAGGACGTCTGCTCGTTGGGCTGGACAGGTGAGGAGAGCATCTCGTCGTATAGGCGCATCTGGTGGGGCGAGTGTCAGGGAGGGAGGGGAGTCGAGCAAGTGGCAGAAGGTGAGTGCATGGCATGGTGTGGGGAGCAGGTGGCGCTGGAAGAACGTTCTCTCTCAGTAGGACGCCTGCTCGTTGGGCTGCACGGGCGAGGAGAGAATCTCGTCGTACAGACGCATCTGGTGGGGCGAGGGTCAGGGAGGGAGGGAAGGAGGGAAGGGAGAGGAGCATGTGGCAGACGGTGGGTACATGGCTGGCATGGTGCGCCGAGCAGGTGGCGCTGGAAGAAGCAACTGTGGCGGTAGGACGCCTGCTCGTTGGGTTGCATGGGTGAGAAGAGCATATCGTTGTGAAGACACATCTGGTGGGGTGGGGTGGGGCCAGGGGGGGAAGGGAGAAGAGCATGAAGCAGGCGGTGAGTGCATGGCATGGTGCGGCGAGCACGTGGCACTGAAGGAAGGTTCTCTGTCAGTAGGAGGTCTGCTCGTTGGGCTGCACGGGTGATGAGAGCATCTTGTCGTACAGGCGCATCTGGTGGGGTGGGGTGGGGGCAGGGAGGAGAGCACATAGATTATTGAATTGTGTAAGAGAAAGCAGGTGCTGTAGGCCAGCAGGTGCTGTTGTAGGCCAGCAGGTGCTGTTGTAGGCCAGCAGGTGAGAGCGTAACATGGCTCACGGGGGACGGAGGACTCACCGCAGCAGCATGCTCACCCAGCACGAGCAGGCTGGAGGCCTTAGCGTGTATGATCTCCAGGTCGCCCGGTGAGGGAGACGTGCACGTGCATGCAGGTGAGAGCACGGCATGGGCATGGTACGTGCGAGAGAGGGAGGGGCGTCACGAGTGACTCACAGCAGCAGCATGCTCGCCCAGCACGTGTAGGCTGGATGCCTTGACGTGCATGATCTCCAGGTCGCCTGGGAACGCCTTGAGCCCCGCGTCTGCCATGGGAAGCACTCCCCTGGTGAGGGAACGGGGCGAAGGAACAGAGGGGCGGAAGGGTGAGCGGTGGGTGGTGGGTGATACCTGCTCCAGGTCCCCTGGGAACGCCTTCAGCCCCGCGTCTGCCAAGGGAATCACTCCCCTGAGAGGAATCGAGGAGACGAGACAAGGAGCGGGGACGAGAGCAGTTTAAGGGGTAGCAGTGGAGATGTGCAGGCAGGCTGGAGGCCTGTGCATGCATGCTTTCCAGGTCGCGAGGGAATGCTTTCGGTGAGCAGTGGGTGGTGAGTGGTGAGTGGTGAGTGGTGAGTGGTGAGTGGTGAGTGGTGAGTGGTGGGGGGTGGGGGGTGGGTGGGGGGTTGCTCACCAGTGATCTCCCAGCAGCCGCTTCTGCAGCACCAGGTTATGATGGGTCTCTAGTATTCTGCCAGGGATGTGGATTAGTCGTAAGAGGGAGAGAGAGGGAGAATGAGTAATCCAGAAAAAGCGAGCATGTGCGCGGGAGGGAGGGAAGGCAGGAAGCACAAGCATGGACTGACGAAGCACAAGAGACAAACAGACTCTGAATGTGAGAGTTTGGGAGAAAAGGCAGAGAAGCAGGGAGGGAGGGAGGCGGGGAGGCAGCAAGGGAGGGCGTGAGGATGAGGGCGGAGAAGCAAAGAGCAAAGAAGAGTAGAGCAGAGCAGGGCGGAGCACGAACTGGTCGGTCTCCCCCAGCAGGCAGTGCAAGCGCCCCTTCTCCTTGCGCAGGTCTGCATCCCCCTCCCCCTTGCGCGCATCCCCCTCTACTTACTGTCCCAGCTCGAGTGAGTGCAGCAGGTCCCTCTCAGCCTCATCAGTTTCCCCCAGCAGGCGGTGCAAGCGCCCCTTCTCCTTGCGCAGGTCCGCATCCCCTGGCAGCAGCTGCACCGCCCGAGCCAGGTATGGTTGTGCTGGGCGGAACTGGTTTGAGCGCACGAATGCAATGCCCTTGGGGGGGGGGGGGGGGGGGGGGGGGAGGAGAGGGAAAGGGAGAGGGTGGGGGTGTTGAGATGTCTCAATAAGTCGCACGAGCCAGGTATGGCTGTGCTGGGCGGAACTGGTTCGAGCGCACGAATGCAATTCCCTGGGAGGGTGGATAAGGGGACGGGAGGAGGGGGGTTGAGACGTCTCATTAAGTCGCCCTCGGCGGCAGGTACTGCTGTGCTGGGCAGAACTGCTTCGACCGTACCAATGCAATTCATTGGTGTGGAAACGGGATAGGGGCGAAAGGGGGAAAAGTGGGGAAAGAGGGGGAAGAGTGGGGGAGCGGGGAGGAGGAAAAAGTGGGGTATGGGGGGAGGGGAGGAGGGGAAAGGGGCATGGGTGTAGCGGGGAGGCAATAGGGAGGGCAGCTGGGAGAAGCGGTGGGGGTAGTGGGGAATGCTGCAGAGCAACGGTCTCACCACGGCACGGTTGAGGTCGGCATCGTCTGGCAGCATGTGCAACACGGGCAGCAGGTCTTTGAGAGCGTCCTTGAATCGGTACAAGTTGAACGCGCTCAGCCCTGCACGCGGGAAAGAGGAGGAGGGAGGGGGGGCGGGAGGGGGAGGGGAAGGGGAGGGGGAAAGCATGTGCAGCACGCAGAAGGTCTTTAAGGGCGTCCTTGAATCGATACAAATCGAACGCGCTCATCCCTGCACGATGAAAGGGGGCAAGGAGGGGGAGGGAGAGCAGTGCGAGTAGTGATGGGGAGGCGCAAAAGTCGGCAGTGGCAGCGCCAATGTCAGAGCACACACACCACACCACACCACACCACACCACACCACACCACACCACACCGTCCCAGAGCGCACGCACTGCTTGCCCACTGTCCTTCCCTCCCTGTCCGCGCATCCCACGCACCTCGTCGTTTAAGCGCCTCTGCATCACCGGGCAGCAGCTTCAGTGCGCGGCTGAGCGCCTCGTGTGCGCCCTCTTTTTTGCTGCTCTGTGAGTCGACTCACAGCTCCCCCCATGCTCCGTACCTCCCCTCTCCCCTCTATCCATACGCACCTCGTCGTTTGAGCGCCTCCGCGTCGCCCGGGAGAAGCTCCAGTACGCGGCTGAACGCCTCGTGCGCCCTCTCGTGCTGCCCCAGCGTCTCCCGCTCCGCCCCCACCTCCATCCACAGCTCTGCGTTGTTGGGATTGGCGTTTACGGCCTGAGAGGGAGGAGAGACAGAAGCACAAATGTTGAAGCGCCTCAAAAGCTGAACGGCTCGAACGCCCTCTTGTGATGCCCCAGCGCCAACCACTCCGGCCCCACCTCCATCCACAGCTCTGCATCGTTGGGGTTGGCACTCACCGCCTGTGTGGGAGGAGAGAAAAAATCACACATGTTGAGGCGCCTCAAAATCGGAACGCCTGATGCCCCAGCGCCTCCCGCTCCGCCCCCACTTCCATCCACAGCTCTGCATTGCCGGGATTGGCGCTCACTGCCTGTAGGTGCAGGGACGGACAGAAGAGAGCACACATGTTAGAGGCGCCTTACAAGCGGAACGCCTTCTTGTGCTGCCCCGGTGCGTTGCACTCCTTCTTGTGCAGAGCCACAGCTCTGCATTGTTTGGCTCTCACCGCCTGTGGGGGAGGCGAGGCCAGAGAGCCACCTGATAAGATTTGGGTCGCCTGGGAAAATTGCCACCATCCGACAACAGCCAATGAGGGACGAAAGAGCACTCCGCGCTGCCAGGGTTGGCGCTCACTGCCTGTGGGGGAGGAGGGGCAAGAGAGCACGCATGCACGGCTCAACGGGAGCGCACCTCGCACGAGCGTCTTTACCCGAGTCGCCTTACACGACACACACACACACACTTCACGCGACGCACATGCAACGCCAGGGGCGCACTCACCTGCTCGAAGTCCGCTACAGCCGGCTCGTGCAGCCGTAGCAGCGACTTGGCCACGCCGCGCCCGTGCAACAGCCGCTGGTGCAGCCGCCGCAAAAGCCGCTCCGCCTGTGGGGGCAGCGGAGGGGGGGGGGGGCAGCGGGTGGGCGGGGGGAAGGCTTTGAAATCGAGTGTTAAGGAGCGGGAGAAAAAGGGACAGCTGTGTATTTAGGGAGGGGGAACGCTGAACGTTCTCACTCACTGCACCTCGGTACATCTGGCATCGCACCCCATTACATGATCTTCGCCAACGCATCTCGTGACAACTCGCCTCGCACCTCGTTACAAGTCGCCGCGCACCTCGTCATACGTCGCGACGGCCTCTTCGAGCCGCTCGCCTTCCAGCTGGTCGCGTCCCTCCGCGATTAAAGCCATCAGTCGCTCGCTCGCGCGCCGCGCCACCTCCGCCTCGCTGCTTCCGCCGCCGCCGCCGCCGCCGCCGCTGCTGCCGTCACTGCTTCCGCTGCTGCCGGTGGAGCCGTTAGCGTCATCTGAAAGCCCGCCTTCGCTGACGGCGGCGTCAATCCGTGAAGATTCGTTCGCGACCCGCTCACGAGATCCGGCGAGACTCGGCGAACACTCCTCCTCATCCCCCAGGCAGAAACCAAACATTTCTGCCGCAGCTTCCGCCGCAACTGACGCCTCCGGACCTACCGCCGCGTTTGCCGCTGGATTCACCGCATGGACGCTAGTGGTCTGAAGGCCAGGCGCAGTGAGATTAATCGGAGCGACTCCGCCGGCTAGCGGCTCCGTCAGGAGCAACCGCGTGGCATGACTGCCGGCGCATTCGAACGTGCCGATGAGGACAACGAAAGCCGCCCAAGCTACCAGACTCCTGCTCAACGACCGAGTCACCGGGAACGCCATTTGCCGGCCGAAACGCCTATAACTCTGACTCAGATGCTTGCGGAAAGTTACTATCCGTTGAACTTGAGCACATAGTGGAACGAATGTGGCTGAGGCTCTTACGTGGAGATGGATTTTCAGGAACGGACTATTTCTCGTTGAGAACGCGAAGTACGTAGTATACGTAAGAGTCAGTCAGTTCCGTCGACTCCGCTCCGTGGCACGAGAGCCATGCAAATGCGATGGGATGGGACTGACTGCAGGCGACTTTGTCGTTTGGTAAAAGACCCTGCAGGTTTGTTGTCAAGATGGCGTCCTGCTCCCGATGAACGCGATCTGAGATGGGAAGCATGGGGAGGAAGGACCGGTGCCTTCGGCAAGCCTCCATGCTTCCCAACGTTGACGTCAAACGCTAGTGCTTGAAGCGCCAGTGCGTAGTGCAGGTGCTTGTGTGTGTTGCCGTAGGGGTGGTTATCTGGATGTGTTCTGTAGGTTAAGAACGGTGAAATTGGAATACGGCGGATGTTCTTAACGTAAGAACAACGTTTTCTCTCGTCGTCGATTTAGATGAAGTGCAGAACTGTACAGTCAAGTGCAGTGGGGCCAGCTGGCGTTGCTCGCCCCGCACGCGCATCATGACAGATTCCCCAACGTGAGCTGCTGTCGTTGTTCGACGACCATCCCTGCCACTGTGACGTGCAAATTTGTCGTTGTTCTCACCCAACTCAACTGAACAGTTCCATATATATATATATATATTGACTAGAGTCCCATTGTATCCATTATATATTAATACAATGAGTTTGTTAATATTTGTTCAGCAAGACATTACAGAAATCAAAAGAACTGGTTCATAGTGTTGGAAACAGTGAATCTTAAGCGCTTCAGTCGTGTCGAAACATCGCACCAGAAGCGAAGCAAGCAGTACCGAAACAAACGCGAGTCAACCCTCGGAGGTTGAGAGGTTGCTGGAGGTTACGCGAAAGTCAAAGGTCAAGCGACCTTTGACCTGACAAATGCAGCGCGACAGTTAAGGACACACAACTGACTCGTTACAGAGTAGTAGTTGCCCGAGTCGTACTGTATCGAACCGCAACAGCAACAGTAAAGTAGTTACAAACTGCATCCTTTCATATTCCTTGTATTATTATATAATCTTGTACTTCCTTGCTATAATCAATCTACTTTGCCCTCACATACCAGCGCAAGGTGGTTCATAATTCTTCATTAAAGGCTTCCGCTATTACAACACTATCCTACCCAGAGTTCTCCCTTGAAAAGATCCTAAGGGGCTATCTCAGCCCAACATGGTATGAGAGCAAACAGGGGAAACTCCACTACCTTCAAGTCATTACAAGACATGGCAACAAGCAAGGAAAGGAGCTCCTCTAACGGCTCCCCGGGCACTACCCCTACTCCACCTCCTGCCTCTGGCCTACAGACAGAGGAAGGCATGTCAACAAGACCAAGGGTGACACCTACTGAGACTCCCGCAAATCACCCCGCGAACTTCGACCCAAGCATGATGGAGAAGTTCTTCTCCTTCATGTCCTTCTACGAGCAGCACCAGCAATCGGGACCTGCACAATCACACAACAGCAACAACAACGGAGCAACGCCCATGAGCCTCGACGGGTCGTCATATGCGCGCGGAAATCAACAGCAGCAACCCACCTTCGCCCCGTACGAGCGCGGGTCGATCAGCTTCATGCCGCAGCCTTCACCTGGACAAGACAAACCACTGGACGCGTTACAAGTGCAATCACAGTTCGCGCATGTCCTGAAGCTGCAGACATCAAGACCTTTCGATGGAAAGGATTTCTTCACCTGGTCGTTCGAGTTTGTGTTGATGATGGAGGGCGCGCAGATACTCGGCTTCTTCGACGGGTCCCTGCAATATCCAGCAAACGGGACGCAGTACGAGAAACAGCAGTACACCTATCAGTCCATGATGGCGTACACGATTCTACTGAGGAACGTCACACCAACTCAGCAGCAGAACATTCGGTCTTACCGGGCCTTCGGCAACTCGGCGGAACTCGCGTACAGCCACCTGAAGAGCCTGTATCAAGCAAAGGACAGCGTAAACCAGAGCAGGTTAATGGCGCAGTTGACAACAGTTGAAATGAAACCGGGAGAGAAAGGAATGGCATATATCAGCCGATGTCGCGAACTGCGCGACAAGCTTCTTCGATGCGGAGGATCGATCTCCGAGGACGCCTTCGTGACGGTCATCATCGGTGGCCTCGGCCCTCAGTGGCGCGCCACCAAAGCTATCCTCCGAGCCCACGGGAGAATCTCTGAAGCAGCACTCTGCGCCGAAATTCACGCCGAGCAGCAGGACATGGACCTGCAAGAAGAACGACACAGAAAGAAGACGACAACATCAGAGTTCGCGTTTCACACTCAACGACGTCACAACAACTACAACAATCGACAGCAACAACCGAAGCCAGTACCTCCCTTCTGCCACATCTGCAAAACTTCAGGGCACCCGCGCACGCACTGCCCAAATCGTCAACAGTCAACGACTCCGCAGCGGCATCTACGGCCTTCAAGCAACCAAGTCACGTCAACACAGGCGAACCCAACGACCCAAATTCAAGCTTCAACAACCTCAACGGGACAACCTGCACAAGGAGCAAGAAACATCGTTAGCTGTATGGCAAGACTGAGTGACTCTTGCGTCACGGAATCACCACCGTACTACTCACCGGAAGAACAACTCGATGAAACCACTCCTCGACGCGAGTTACTTCACCCGAACCCGACGTACGCCGCCATCGCCCAAAGCGAGCCATCCGGGAAGGACACATGGTTCCTGGATAGCTGCTGCGGGCAGCACATGTGTTCTTCGGGACGCTTCGTACAACGAGAGTATCAGCTTCAGCGAGAAGTCATCATCACCGTCGTCAACAACCAAAACCTGCGTACACGACGACAAGGAATCGTTCAACTTCAGTCACGGGAGACAAACGTCATTCTGCAAATGTCCAAGGTTTTAATTGCAGAAGGTCTCGGGTACAACCTACTAAGCGTCAGTCAGCTGATGGCGAAAGGCATCCATCTTGAAGCAGACAGCACCACCCAGGAGTTCAAGTTGTACCACGGGAGAGGAGGTCTTTACATCGGAAAGGCGATCCTCAAGAACAACGTCTTCGTTCTTGACTTCGTTCCCGATCTTGGCACCGCCGACAGTGACGCCATCGTGAACTTCACCAACTGGACACATCCTCCGGATCTTGATCCAGACTTCAGTCCGGGCGGCTTCTGGTACTCACACACCATTCCTGAAACAGAAAGAACAAGAGCGTTAGCAACGATTCAACAGTCGGCAGCAGCAAAGACAACATCGGCAGCAGCAGAGACAACATCGGCAGCAGCAGAGACAACATCGGCAGCAGCAAAGACAGCAGCAGCAGGAACATCAACACCAGTCGCCGGTCCCTCAACGGCACCACCCTTCATCGACGATACGCCACCAACACCCGCACAGCAGCTTCAACCAGCACCGCGAGAAGTTCACCGTAGCGCCAACTTCACCGCCGGCTTCTACTCCAACTCCGACATGTACCGACGCTCCCAAGGACACCGCGCCACTGAAGGAACCTGGCACGCAAGGATGGGACATCCGAGTCACACGGTGTTAAACAACACAATAAGAGCAGGAGTTCTTGACAAGGACTCACTCCTACTGACCGACGGCAGAGAACTTCAGCGAGCTCGAGGAACATGCTTCACCTGCCCTGAAGCAGACTTAACACGACAGCCGTTTCCATCTCACCACAATCCAAGCGCACCAGCTTACGCACCGCTCGAGAAAGTGTACAGCGACATCCTGTACAACCGCGAACCTGGACAAAACACCTACAACTACACGATTACCTTCATCGACGCCGCGACCAGATACGTCTGGCACCTCAACCTACCCAGCCGCGACATGGCCTTCGAAGCGTTCGTCGCGTGGCTTCCTGCAGCAGAAAGAGAATCGGGCGTAAAACTGAAAAGCTTTCAGTCAGACGGGGGAGGAGAATACACCTCACAGAGGTTCAAGGACTACTTGGCAGAAAGGGGAATCAAGCGACTCATCTCCCTTCCCTACGCCCATCAACAGCAAGGTGTAGCAGAAAGGATGAACAGGACACTTCAAGCCACCATGCGCAAGCTGCTGCGTGGCATGCATCTGCCCAACCACCAGTGGCCCGAAGCAATGGACCACGCCGTCATGCTGCACAACTTGCTCTCGTCATCATCGCTCCCGAACAACGCATCACCGCACCTGCTGTGGACAGGAAAATTGGGCAGCACAAAAATGTTACGAGTTTTTGGGTGCATGGTACAGTACCGACCACCATCTGCACGCGCCGGTCGATTCTCCCAACGAGCACAGTGGGGAGTATGTCGAGATTAGAGAGGAATGAATGATGATTAGGTAAGGGGAGGGGGTACAAGACTATCGAGAAGTTTGTTGTACCCTCTAAGAAATCACCCCTACACAACCTAGAACTAAATAATATGAAACATATAATTTGACACACCCCCATAGGTGAAGTAGGGGGGATAGCCAAACCTAACAGTGGTCACAAGACCAGTCAAGTCGAAGAGCAAATAAGACAAAGCCCAGGGTGGATCTCAAAAACACCACACAGTCTGAGCACAAGCAGGTGGCCACAAGGCCAGTTCACATGCAGTTTTATAATAGAGCAAGTAGTACAATGATTACAACCTAGCAAGTGTAAGCATGCAGGAAGATATATAAAGATCACAGTACAAACAGAGTCAAGCAGTAAGCAAGTGAGGCCCAGCAGGTACAAGGCCTAGAAGAGTACAGAAACGCTGATGGTCACAAGGCTGAAGCGCCTTGGTGAACACATCAGCAGTGTTGGCCTCAGTGGCCACGTAGCGCAGACGAAGCTGACCGCGCTGCTGCAGCTCTCGAGCAAGGAAGTACCGCAGGGCAATGTGCTTCGTTCTGTGCTCCAGTCTTTGCTCCTCACACAAGGCAATGGCAGCCTTGTTGTCGACGTACAGCACTGGAGGAGAACGAGGCTGCTCTCCCAAGTCGGTCAGCAGGTAGGTCAACCAGCGTAGCTCCTGGGCCGCCATGGCTGTGGCGTAGATCTCAGCCTCACAACTGGAGCCGAGAACAGAAGAAGAGCGTGTAGAACGCCAAGAAACTGAGCCAGAGCCAAGGCTGAAGGTGTAACCCTGAGACGACCGCTGTGTAGCCTGGTCGTCCGCCCAAGAAGCGTCTGAGTGTCCAGTAAGTACAACTCGGTCTCGCCCTCCAAGCACTAGTCCCATGCCTGACGTACTGCACAAGTAGCGCAACACCCTCTTAGCGGCATCCATGTGCTCCTTCCTGTGACGGCCAGGAGCGACATAGCGTGCAAGAATGCTAAGAGGGTATGCAAGGTCAGGTCGAGTGCAGGTCATCAGGTACATGAGGCAGCCCACAAGCTCTGGATACGGGCCACTCGGCTCTACGAACTCATCCGAAGGCAGAGCTGAGAGCGAGTGACCGGTAGGCAGAGGAGTGGACTGAGGCGAGGAGTACGTGAAGCGGAAGCGCTGAAGGACCTGCTGCACCATGTGTGACTGAGTCAAGGTGATGGTGCGCCGTGCTCTGTCCCGGGTGATCCGCAAGCCAAGATAGCTTGTCAGTTCACCCAGGTCTGTGCACGTGTGTCTCTTCTGCAGCTCCGACTTCACGTGGGCGAGTGCCGCAGTGTCAGCAGTGGCAAAGACCAAGTCGTCGACGTACACGAGGATGTAGAACGGCGGCAACGAGGTGTCTGTGCGTAGAAACAGCGACGGGTCAGCAGTAGAGGGAGTGAACCCAAGAGCCGCAAGTGTCGTCCTCAGTGTGTCGTGCCACTCACGTGGCGCCTGGCGGAGACCGTAGACCGGCCGCTGGAGCCTCCACTGGGTACCAGGAGGAAACGACCCAGTGAAGCCAGGAGGGCGGCGCAGCCAGATCTCCTCGTGCAGGCTGCCCTGCAAGAAAGCAGTGCTGAAGTCAAGTGAGTGAAGCTCGTAGTCGCGCTGAGCGGCTATGTGCAGCAGCACCCGAAGAGTAGTCATCTTCGGGGTGGGGGAGAAGGTCTGGAAGAAGTCTACTCCCTCTCGCTGACTGAAGCCTCGAGCAACGTAGCGTGCCTTGAAGACAGGAGGAGAACCCGGCGGCCGCTTCACCCTGAAAATCCACATGCCACTGACGATGTTCGCCCCAGGTGGGGGAACCTCGTCGACGTAGGTGCCTGTGGACTTCCAGGAAGCCATCTCTGCGTCCATGGCTGTCTGCCACTGAGAGGAGTAGGGACCCGCCATCGCCTCAGCGTAAGAGCGCGGGGTCGGGATGTCTGGTGCATCCGGGTCTCCCTCAGGGGCAACTAGCATGGACACGAGATGGGGCAAAGCAGCAGCAAAGCACTGGAACTCCTCCTGTCTGTCCTCAAGGACGTCTGTGCCAAGAGCACACTCACCCCCGACGGACGGAGGACAGACAGACTCAGACTCAGCAACAAGGCTAGCGGCGTAGTCTAGACGACACCGGGCAGCAAAGTCAACTAACTCAGCGACCAGAGCAGACGCAGCAGAGGACTCAAAGGTAGGGTCAGTGACAACAGTGGCGAGGAGACGCGTGACAGTGGGACTGGCAGCACGACGGGAGTCAGACTCCGGGTCAGGAAGAGTAGGCAGAGAGGACGCAGGAGGAGACGGCAGCGGGACACGCTGAGGAGCAGTGGAGGGACGCAGAGTCATGTAGTGAGTGCCAGGGACAGGAGGAGGACGCTCACGTGGGACACGACGACCAGTGCGAGCAGTACGAACAGGCGACGCAGGACGAGACTCAGGCTCACGACGCTCTGTAAGACCTCCTGTGGGACCAGTGTAAGGAGAGGGACCAGGGAGAGGCGAGGCAGGCGGTAACTGTGACTGCGACTGGACAGGCGGAGGACACTCTACAGAGGGAGGAGGACAAGGAGGAGGAGCCTGAATAAGAACCTGCTGAAGGAGCGGTACGAAGTACGGTCGCGGCAGTGCAGCGTCTCCAGAACCAGCAGAGACACCAGCGCCAGGGTCCTCAGTACCAGCAGCAGCTCCACCGCTCGGGTCCTCAGCACCAGTAGCAGCTCCACCGCCCGGGTCCTCAGCACCAGCAGCAGCTCCACCGCTCGAGTCCTCAGCACCAGCAGCAGCTCCACCGCGCGGGTCCTCAGCACCAGCAGCAGCTCCACCGCTCAGGTCCTCAGCACCAGCAGCAGCTCCACCGCTCGAGTCCTCAGCACCAGCAGCAGCTCCATCGCACGGGTCCTCAGCACCAGCAGCAGCTCCACCGCTCGAGTCCTCAGCACCAGCAGCAGCTCCACCGCGCGGGTCCTCAGCACCAGCAGCAGCTCCAACGCCCGGGTCCTCAGCACCAGTAGCAGCTCCACCCCCAGGGTCCGCAGCACCAGGAGCTCCACTCCGAAGACTGCAGCGCCGCGTGTACCACTCTCGGATCTGCTGAAGGGAGGGGAGCTCCTGGGTAGGAGGGGAAGTACTGGTACGAGCTCCAGCAGCACCTCTCCGGAGGCGGCAGTACTGTAGGTACCTCTCCTGCAGCTGCTGGGAGGAGAGGGCTCCTCCAGGTGTAGCACGCTCAGGCTCAGCACCTCCAGACACAGCACCCCCAGACTCAGCACCCCCAGACTCAGCACCCCCAGGCTCAGCACCTCCAGACTCCGCACCTCCAGGCTCCGCACCTCCAGGCTCCGCACCTCCAGGCTCCGCACCCCCAGGCTCCGCACCCCCAGACTCAGCACTCCCAGGCTCAGCACCCCCAGACGCAGCACCCCCAGGCTCAGCACCCCCAGGCTCAGCACCCCTAGCAGGACGAGAGTCAACAGCTACCTCGACAGGCTCACCCGGGTCTACCTGGGACACACCTGAGGGAGCGGCACCCTGAGGGGGGAGGGGGTCTGGTACCTCAGCACCTGGAGCGAGGAAGAGAGGCGGGGGGGGGAGTGGGGCAGTGCGGTAGGGGAAGAGGCGGTAGTAGGGGACGGACTCGTCAAAAGTGACGTCCTGAGAGGCCAGGACACGACGCGAGGTGGCGTGGTAGAACTGCCAACCAGGGGCGTCCGGGACAAAGCCAAGGAAGACACAGGGGACAGCGCGACGGGAGAGCTTGTCCGCGGACGTGTCGCGAACAAAGGCTCGGGATCCCCAGACCCGAAAACGCGACGCATCGCCAGCCTCTCCCGTCCAACGCAGTGTCGGAGAAGTCTCCGGGAGGGAGACTCGGGGCCAGAGGTTGAGCTGATGTGCAGCGTATCGGACTGCAAACGGCCACAGAAAGTGGGGGGCAGCCGCATGAACCAAGGAGGTACGAGCGACCTCCATGACCAAGCCAATGCGACGCTCAGCAACCCCATTCTGCTGTGGAGAGGCCGGAAGCGTGTACGACTGCTCAATGCCCTCCTGCTGACAGAAGGCCTCCAAGAGGCCGGAGGAAAACTCCCCACCTCTGTCAGAGTGCAGACGCAGGACAGGGAAGTTGGAGTGGAAACGCTTGCTGAGCTGGAGACGAGATCTGCGGATCCAAGGGATCAAGACATCAGGGACCTCACCCTTGGTGCGCAAGGGGAAGACCGTGGTGTAGCGCGAGAAGTCGTCAACAACAATCAGGAAGTACCTCTCCTGACCCTGTCCACGGACGCGGGCTGGGCCCCACACGTCCAAGTGGAGCGTCTGCAAGGGAGCAGTCGTCGGGGGAAAGGAGGAGGAGTGAGGAGCGGCGCGCTGCCGCCCCTCGACACAGGGAAGACAGGGAGGAGCAGGCGAGGGTGGGAGGGGAGGGAGAACCCTGGGAAGACCAGCAACAAGGTCCCGTTTGTGCATGGCCCGAAGGCGCTGCACAGACGGGTGACCAAGGCGGTGGTGCCAGAGGACAGTCTCATGCGCCAGAGAGCGACACGAGCAGGGGGCGGACAGCTGACCTGACGCAGACGCAGACGCAGCTATCTGAGGGGACTCAGTGGTCAGTGTGTACAGGTCCGACCCCGGCTGCCGAGTGAAGGTAGCCAGGTGGCGACCCGTCCGAGCACACATGCAGTGTGTCACGCGCTCATAGGCAGGGGTGAACTAGTGAACACCCCCGTCCTGGAGCGCACGACCTGCCACCAAGTTCGTAGAGAACGAGGGGAGGTAGAGACCTGACAGTGTGCCTGACGGGACCGCAGGACAAGGAAGGACAGTGGAGGAGGTCGTAATGACCGGACCCCCAGAGGGGTCAGCGAGGGAGACAGCAACTGGCCGAGCGAGTGGCTCAAGGACAGTGCGGTCACGAAAGAAACAGCGAGAAGCACCTGAGTCCAGTGTGAAGGTGTGCAGTGCTGCAGTCGACTCAGTACCAGGGGGCACGGACTCACGAGCACCTAGAGCAGCAGCCGCACCAGCACCTAGAGCAGCAGCCTCACTGGTCAGAATGCCCGGGTCGGGCGGAACACGCAAGTACTGAGCACCCTCTCCACTAGTAAACATCGCATACATGGCAGTGAGAATAGCATCAAAGTCTAAAGCCCAGATATCAACTCCCTTCTTCTCCAGATCAAACCAGCGGGGCAGCTCAGTGGCATCAGGGAACTGAGTGCGCCAAGCGTCGTCAAGGCGCGCGAAACAGCGCTGCGTGGGGTGCGGCCTCCCACACGTCTGACCAGTGCGGTCACCAGTGCGGATGACGTACGTGCAGCTAAAGCCACCCGCCCCCCCGCGCTGCGAATACCACTCACGGGCCTCCTGGAGCGACGGAGTGTGCTGCTGGCTTAGGCCACCGCCAGCGCCTCCACGACCACCACCGCCGCTGCCACCTCCTCGACCACCCCCTCCCCTGCCGCAACCACGACCACCGCCGCCCCCGCTGCCGCCCCCGCCCCTGCCACCGCCTCCGCCGCTGCCGTCACTACCCCCACTGCCGCCACTAGCCTCTCCAGCCCCTCCTCCACTCCCACCGCCTCCACCCCCGCCTCCCCCGCCACCACCTCCACCCTTGCCCCCTTTGTTCCTGCGGCGCCCGCTCGGAGCAGACGCGGTCCCGACCTTCTCAGCACCAAGGAGGTCGACAGCAGAAGCAGAGGCGACAGAGGGGAGAAGGGGGGAAGGGGAACACCCCTCAAAGAAAGGGGTGCGGGGCTCGCCACGAGAGGCACCTACAGCGACGATGCTCGCCTCAGCTGCAAGGAGTTCCTTCTCGAGGAGGGCAATGGTGAGCTCAGTGGGGCAGCGAGCTAGAAAGTGATCCCTGACTGCGCGCAGAGAGTCAGGGAGGCGGGTGACGATGTGGTAGAGAGTGAGCCAGAGCGGTGGGGGGTTGCTAGCTAGGAACTCGTCAGGCATAGCAGCGCGGAAGCGGGCCTCACTAGTCTTGAGGTGGGTGATGAGGTCAGCGACAGTGTGAAAGGAGGCCAGGTCGGGGAACAGGTAGGGGAGAGAGAGGCGGCCTAGTGCGGCAGAAGCAGGTGAGGAGTAGCGAGCAACTACAGCAGTGTACAGGTCCTTAGCAGTCTTGTGCTGGCCAAAGTGCTCGCGTTCATCTAGCGGCAGGGAGTTGCGAATAGCAAAGCGAGCGTGAGCGTCACGAGTCTGCCACTGCGAGCGCTGAGTGCTGTCAGCAGTGGTAGGAGGGGCAGTAGCATGGCCTAGGGCGTGATCGTACAGTGAAATGTCCTCCTTGGCAGTGAGCTGTAGAAAGAGGTGCAGGTCATCTAGCCAGGTGTCAAACTTCACTGGGCGGCCCTCAGCATCGAAAGCTAGCACAGGAGGGCTAGCCATAGTAGCAGTAGGAGGAACAGTAGCAGTGTCAGCAGCAGCAGTAGCGCGGTTGGTCAGGGCAGTGCGGCTCTAGCAGGGCAGGGCCGGGGCAGTCGTGACGGCGGCGGCAGTTGCTGCAGGCTCGGTGGCGGCCGCTGCTGCAGGGACGGCGGCGGCTGCTGTTGTATTCTCGGAGCCGGCAGCTCCTGCAGGTCTGGCGGCGGCTGCTGCTGCAGGCTCGGCGGCGGCAGCTGCTGCAGGTCGAGCGGCGGCTGCTGCTGCAGGCTCGGCGGCGGCAGCTGCTGCAGGTCCGGCGGCGGCTGCTTTGCAGGTTCGGCCGCGGCTGCTGCTGCAGGCTCGGCGGCGGCAGCTGCTGCAGGTCCGGCGGCGGCTGCTGCTGCTGGCTCGGCGGCGGCAGCTGCTGGAGGCTCGGCGGCTGCTGCTGCTGCAGGCTCGGCAGCGGCAACTGCTGCAGGTCTGGCGGCGGCTGCTACTGCAGGTCCGGCCGCGGCTGCTGCTGTAGGCTCGGCGGCGGCAGCTGCTGCAGGTCGGCGGCGGCTGCTGCTGCAGGCTCGGCGGCGGCAGCTGCTGCAGACGAGGGCGAAGGGGACCGCGACGGGTCCTGGAGGGGCCGCGAAGGGCGGCGAGGGGCGGCGACGAAGCCGCGAAGGGGCGGCGACAGAGCCGCGACGGGGCGGCGACGGAGCCGCGAAGGGGCGGCGACAGAGCCGCGAAGGGGCGGCGACTAGGCCGCGAAAGGGCGGCGACAGAGCCGCGAGGGGGGGGGGGGGCGACGAGGCCGCGAAAGGGGGGGCCGCTAAGGGGCCTTAAGCGGGGGTCGCGAGGGGCCAACGAGGGGCCGCGAGGGGACGTTAAGAGGGGGGGCGCGACGGGCCGTTAAGGACAGGCGCACGGGGCGCGACTAGGGTAGGCGCGAAGCGCGCTCCGGGCAGGAAAAAAAATAATTTCGTTTTCCGTGGTGGGCCCTAGGAAACTTCCTGCTCTATACCATGTCGAGATTAGAGAGGAATGAATGATGATTAGGTAAGGGGAGGGGGTACAAGACTATCGAGAAGTTTGTTGTACCCTCTAAGAAATCACCCCTACACAACCTAGAACTAAATAATATGAAACATATAATTTGACAGAGTACACCTGGGCATCGAAAAACACCACAACGCATGGAAAATCTTCGACATCAACAGCAAGGAAACAGTCGCAGCACGTGATGTAATCTTCTACGAACACCTCACCCTCGACGTTCATCTCGCGTACGTCAGAGCCAACAGACCTGACCTCACGGGCGGATTCACTGGCACCCGAGCCTTCGCCTCGGCAGAAGACGAAGCTGACTGGGACGAGCAGAACGTGGACCGAGCCTCGGAAGAAGCCGGACCTCTTCCCTACTGCCCAGTGGACGTACCAATGGACGACGAAGACCCACGCGAAAGCATCAACGCCGAAGTTTACTACCATTTCGCTGACGACGGTTACGTTACACCTGCTGAAGTCAACACCAACGAAGCAGAACGCGTAGGACCCAACTTCGCACCTGATCCAGAAGCTGGAGACGAAGCAGTCTATCCCGAGGACACCACACTCCCCCGCTACACACAGAGTGGACTCCAAATCCTTGGCCTCGTCACCGCAGTCCACGGCGCCGACATTCCTAAGGAGCCTGCGACAGTTCAACAGGCTCTGGGGGGGGAGCACAGGGAAAAATGGCGCGAAGCCATGGACAGGGAACTGAAGGCGTTAGAAGAACGCAACACCTGGAAGGTCGTTCCTATCGGCGTAGCACGAAACAAGACCATACTTACCGGAAAATGGGTCTTCCGTGTGAAAACGAAAGCGGACGGCACCATCGACAAGTTCAAAGCACGCTGGGTCGTACGCGGCTTCGACCAGGAGCACGGACGTGACTTCACCGAAACCTTCGCTCCGGTCAGCCGCCACACTTCACTGCGAATTCTCCTCGCGATCGCCGCCATGAAGAAGAAGAAGTTGCGACAAATCGACGTCGCAAATGCTTTTCTCTACGCACCTGTTGATGCAGAGATCTTCGTGGAGCTGCCACACGGCTCCAACACAGACTCCACACATGTCTGCCAGCTGCTCAAGTCGCTCTACGGGATCAAACAGGCCCCGCGACTATGGCAACAGTACCTGCACGCTCGCCTCATCCGCATCGGCTTCAAACAACTCCCGCACGATCAAGGAACGTACCGCCTCACGAAGAACGACGACTACGTCCTACTAATCGTCTACGTGGACGATCTCCTCTACATCGGGTCAAATGACGGCATCACTACCTGGTTCGAAGGGGAGCTGCAACAAGACCTCACACTCACGGTCTCGCCTACCGTCACTCAGTACCTCGGCCTCAACATCCGAGAAGAAGAAGATGCGATCTACCTCAGCGCCGAAAAGTACGCCGACACCATCGCCAAACGCTTCGGTCTCACGCCGGCCGCGATCTCAACACCATACCGCTACACGACAGGAGCCGACAAGGGAAAATCCACCTTACTCAAACCCGCCTGCGTACGCGACTATCAGAGGAAGCTAGGATGCCTCCTCTTCGCAGCTGTTACCTGCCGTCCCGACCTCTCATACTCCGCAAGCCAGCTCGCTACCTACCTCAAGAAGCCCGAAACAGAGCACCTGGCGGAGCTCGACCGCGCTCTTCACTACTTCATCAGCACCCCGACGATCGGCCTAACCTACCACAAGAACGCAACTACACCAACTAAGCTAATCGGCTACGTCGACGCCGATCACGCCGGCGACTCCGACAACAGGCGCTCACGCACCGGCTACGTCTACCGCCTCGAACCTATCGGTCCTATCTCCTGGCAATTGAACAAGCAGGAGTTAATCGCGCTATCTTCAGCTGAAGCAGAATACATTGCACTCTGCTCAGCCACCAAGGAGGGACTTTATCTTCGCGAGCTGCTGGAAGAAGCAAAGTTAGCCGAGTTACCCAACTTCACCCTGTTCTGCGACAATCAGTCAGCAATTCGCATCGCCAACAAGAACGGCTTCGCGAACAGGACGAAACACATCGCCCTGCGCTACTTCTTCGTGAAGGACGAGATCGAGAAGGGGAGACTCGAGCTGTCATTTTGCCCCACGTCCGAGATGGCAGCTGACTATTTGACCAAGAAGCTCGGAAAACAGAAGTTCGAGTGCTGTATGCTGCTGACTGGACAGAGCCACGTCATCAGCAGCGACACTCCAGAAGCGAAGGGGAGTGTTGGAAACAGTGAATCTTAAGCGCTTCAGTCGTGTCGAAACATCGCACCAGAAGCGAAGCAAGCAGTACCGAAACAAACGCGAGTCAACCCTCGGAGGTTGAGAGGTTGCTGGAGGTTACGCGAAAGTCAAAGGTCAAGCGACCTTTGACCTGACAAATGCAGCGCGACAGTTAAGGACACACAACTGACTCGTTACAGAGCAGTTGCCCGAGTCGTACTGTATCGAACCGCAACAGCAACAGTAAAGTAGTTACAAACTGCATCCTTTCATATTCCTTGTATTATAATATAATCTTGTACTTCCTTGCTATAATCAATCTACTTTGCCCTCACATACCAGCGCAAGGTGGTTCATAATTCTTCATTAAAGGCTTCCGCTATTACAACACTATCCTACCCAGAGTTCTCCCCTGAAAAGATCCTAAGGGGCTATCTCAGCCCAACACATAGTTCTTATTCTTCTGGATTTGGAATCTTAGAGGCTTATTGTTGCATAGTGCACTCTTTCTTGGGTCAAGATGCCAATGTGCGGAGAATAATACATGTTCTTATTCTGTCTGACGTAACCAGAATCTGCAAATTTCACCATTTTTTCAGCCCATGACTACTGAGTTATCACTTCATGGTTGGATTCTATAATGAAGTTATGGTAAAGTGAATTTCTACAGCTCTTAGTTGTTATCAGGGATAACGAGAACGCCAGCAGCACTTGTTTGGAGACAATTTTGCTGGTGGCGCTGTTCACCACCATATGTCCAGTCACTGTCCCCAAGCTTGGCTCTCGGTGGTTGTCGTTGGATCTTGGCATGGAACCCGACCGTGCCGTCGATTCCATGTGGCGTGGGTATTCTTGCGACAGCGAGGACCTGGGAGATGAATCCACGCACTGCTGTCTTTGCCATCGCGCCGCACCGTTCCAGCGATGCATGGCGAACCAGTCGTGTCACACGGTTTTCGCACACTCCCCATGACAGCCGTCGATTCCCCATTTCGTAAACACCGAAACAGTAGTTATCGCCGTTCATTAGTTACGCACCTTCGCCAGCCTTGCCCGCGCCGCCACTCATCGTTCATCGCATCGCAACAGCATTTTCGTGGGTCATGACCCACGAGCAGTGTTCCTCCTTGCACCCCTGTTTTCATTTCAGCTCAACCCTCGCCAGCTGCACCTACCCACCCAACTTCACTCACCTCGTCCCTTCCCTCGGCAGCTGGTCTGGACTTCCCCAAAACATAAGCTCCTCTTTGGGGCATTTCTCACAATCACCGCCTGCCCATCAGCTTGCGTTGCCTGCACCCTCCATCATCGTCTCCATCTCGTGTCTGTCTGCTGCGTAGCCAATCTCGGTGCGCTCCTCGCGTGCTCTTGGCTCCCTGCTGCCTCTCCTGCTACTGCCGCACCTAGCAAGACAAGCGCGTTACTGCAGCAGCCGATTCGTTAATCTTCGCTCGCTATCCGTGCTAGTGGCTTCATCAGTATAAACCGAATTTTCCGCAGCACATGTTCGTGAGACCGCCATGGCATCGCGAGTCCTTCTCTCACAAGCGCGCGCAGCGGGGGCGAAACACGCGCCGCTCTCAGACAACCTCATTGCGCATCTCCTCAGGCCGCTGAAAAACCCGCCTGCCGCACCATCCCCCGCAGCCTCCAACGTCGCATCTGCCGCTTCGAAATTCGCGTCCGCCGCTGATCCTTCCAGCTATTCCTCCCCGCAAGCACCGACCTCACATCCCCCCGCGCTCCCCGCAACTGACCTCGATCGCCCGTACCGCAGCCAGTTCAGTCGCAGGCCCGCATCATCCGCTATCTCGCCGGCCGTCGTTCCGCTGCTCCTGAACCTCCAACCCGCTCCGCAGCCCACCTTCGTCGGCTCAATTCTCGACACGTGCGTCGCGCCTCCCGCGGAAGACGCTGTCCCTGTCGTCTCGTGGGCCAATGTCCTGCCCGCGAGCGACGGAGCCGCTGCTCCGGGAGAACAGTCCGCGGCGGAAGTTTCCGATTCCGCCCCGCTCGTCCTTCCGCTCCCCGTGCTGTCAGCAGCCGCTGCTAACCCGTCTGCTGGCCCCTCCCGCCGCCGCCCCATCTCCGCCGTGGATTCTCCCGCTGCCAAGGCGGGGAGCGCGGGCGCGGCAGCACCGAGGGGCGTTCAGGCGATCGTGGACGACATTCTCAGCGGCCGCTTCAAGGACGCGCGCCGCGAATCGCCGCGCACTACCACTGCTTCCGCAACCGCGCCCCGTCCCGCCGATGAACCCGCCGCCGCGCCACCCGCCGCGACCGTCGCCGCTGTTACGGCGGCCCTTCGCGCACCCCCCTCTCCGAAACCGAACCTCGCCCCCTCTCCCACCGCAAAGTCCGCTTCCGTAGCGGCTGAAGCCACGGACTTTCCCCCATTGCCCAGCGGCATCATCCTCCCCGACGTTTTCCCCCTCATGGCCTCCCCAATCGCGTCTCCGAAAGCCGCGCCATACCTCTCCGCCCTGACTGATTGCGCGCACCCTTCGTCCGCCACCTCCGCCGCGCCCGCTGTCGCCGGTTTCACCAGCGCGTCAAAACCAGTGGCGTTCACCATCGGTTCCCCCTTGGACGAGTTCTTTTCCCCCGATTCCTCCCCGCCCGCCACGATCTCCGCTCTCTCTTCCGCCCTGGATCAGGGCGATTCCTCTCCGGTGCTGGCTGCCACGTCAGCTTCTGCTGCCGCGGCTGCTGCCGCCGTGTACCACCACCCGCACTTCCTGGAGTCGCAGGACGGCAGCAAGGGTCCAGCGGCGCGGCGTAACGGCAGCAAGGGCGGCAAGCAGGCCAAGGGCGGTGAGGCCAAGCCTGCCGCTCGCTCTGCTGACCGCAACGGGGGCAAACGCAGCAAGGCAGGAGGTTCGGCCGAGGCTGATGATTGGGTGCGGCGGAAGCTGGAGCAGCCGCAAGCCTCTGTGGGCCATGGCCGTGGATTGGACGCCAAGAGGGCTGGTGGGAAAATTGCCGCTACAGTTGCCATTGGTGCTCCAGGAGGGGTGGTTCGTACGCTTGAGCTTTATCTGCCTTACTCTACATCAGCCACTAACCCGACCGCTAATGGTCCTATGATTGGTGCTGCGGCACCTGCTGGGCCTCGTGTGCCTGATGGCACCCGCGGGTTTACTTTTGGACGTGGGAAGAGTCTTGCTCATTAAATGAGAACGCACCTCATACTATGGACCTATACATTGTAGGATTTGGTTACTTATTTTAGCTCAGCATAGTTAGAAGCTTTTAAAGAGCCCTTGAGTTCCATCCCTCAAGTTGTTTGTATGTATTTTAGTGCTTTATTCCTCGTAATGAAAAAGAACGAGCTTATTGCTCTTATTTCGTTTCTCGTTTTTGGTCGTGTAGTTTGGAAGCTGGGGTGGACACGTTGACCCAGTTGACCGCCTCGAATCGGCGTCTGCTTCCTTGCTCCCTCGTCTCAGGTCAGGTGGGGGTCAGACCGACAAGCGCACATCAAGGTCACGCAGACCGCGACCCCGAAACCTTCTCTCTCGGCCTGAAATTATTGGCACCCGTTCTGAGCCGCTTGACAATTATTGCAGGTTCGCTCGCATCACTCCCAATTTTTGGCCTTGCGTTCTCTTTCACATGCCTCACTCACACACCAACTTGATCCCTTTTCTGATGGAAGTCTCTTCGAACCAGTGTTTTACAAGACACGCCAGTCTTCCCCTCAGATCTTCCCTTCCTTGTTTAGTCTAAGCGCGCAATCGACGAGAACCTCGCATCGCAACTTCTGTGTGGTCCAGACTCCTAGAACTGCAGTGTTCTCGAGCCGATTCTCGCAGACATTTTCCCGCCTTCATTGTCTCGCACAAATTTCGCCTGTCTCAAATTAGGCCCAGCGACAAGCGTTTCGTAAAATGGGGCAGTTTGGAGACTGGTTGCTCAGGAAAAAAGACCCGGGACCCAATCGCGTTTTATTCGTGAATGATCCCGAGGGAAACGACGAGTTCGGGTTCAGCAGCAACCGCATTCGCACCACCAAGTACACCTGGTACAGCTTCGTTCCGCGCGGCCTCTTCGAGCAATTCCGCCGCGTCGCCAACTTGTATTTTCTCTTCCACGCGTGCGTCTCGCTCACGCCGCTCTCCCCCGTCAGCCCCATCGCGACGGTCCCGCCGCTCGTGTTCGTCGTCGGGCTCGCCATGGCGAAGGAGCTATGGGAGGATATAAAGCGCGGGCGCTCCGATTACGAGACGAATAAGCGGAAAGCAACGGTCATACGGCCGGACGGCACGGAGGCGACGCGGCGATGGCGCGATCTGCGCGTGGGGGAGCTGATCCGCGTGCCGCAAGACGCCTTTCTCCCCGCCGACATCATCTGCGTCGCGACGAGCGGCGACGGCGGCGCGTGCTACGTGGAAACGATGAATCTGGACGGCGAGACGAACCTGAAGATGCGCAGCGCGGTCTTCGAGACGCACGCGATGAGCGCGGCGGAACTTGCGCGGGTGCGCGGACGCGTCGAGTGCGAGCATCCGAACGCGTCGATCTACACCTTCGCGGGGAAAATGCTGCTTAGAACGAGTATCGAGGGTGCTCTTAGCGGGAAGAATGATAGTAGCGCGGACCTAGAGTCTTCCGAAGGCACCGAGTCTGGCGGCGCGGCGCCGATTTTCATCACTCCGGCGAACATTCTCCTGCGCGGATCGCGGCTTCGTAACACCAAGTGGGCGGTGGGAATTGTCGTATACACCGGCCGCGAGACCAAGATCATGATGAACTCCACCGACCCGCCGTCCAAACGAAGCTTCGTGGAAAAGCGGCTGGATTTCGTGATTATGTTCGAGCTGGTGGTGCTGGTGGGCCTCGCGACGTTCTCCTCCGTGATGTACGGCGTGTATCTCGGCAAGTACATGCAGCAGCAGTGGTACCTGCGGCCCGAGGATTACACCGGTGTGACGGGCGTGGCTAAGGCGATGTATAATTGGCAGCAGCCGGCTTTGGCGGGATTCATGCAGTTTTTCACGGCGCTCGTGCTATACGGGTATTTTGTGCCTATATCGCTGTATGTGACTATGGAGCTCGTGAAGCTAGTGCAGGCCGCGACGATCGCGCTCGACCTGCATATGTATTACGAGGAGAGGGATATCCCCGCTACTGCGCGCACCTCTAACCTTAACGAGGAGCTCGGTATGGTGCACACTGTTTTGTCGGATAAAACGGGCACGTTAACTCGCAACCAGATGGATTTCTTCAAGTGCTCTATAGCGGGGATAGCGTACGGCACGGGCGTGACGGAGGTAGAGAAAGCGGCGGCTGAGAGAATGGGCCAGCCAATCCCGGACGAGGATGAGGAAATGGAGGGGGAGGAGGGGGTATACACCCCGCTAAAGCCCCTGGAAAAGGGGTACAACATGAAGGACCCCCGGCTGGACGATCTGAAATGGCGGACACAGCCTACGGCCGAGGAGATTCGGAGGTTCCTGGAAGTGATGTCGGTGTGCCATACTGTGGTCGCCGATACGGGCGACGCGGCAGATGCGGCGGGAGGTGCGGGGAAGGAGGGCGGCGCCGGCGGTGGCGGGGCGAGCGCGCGGGGTGGCGCCGGGGAGGGGTGGGAGGCGGGCGCAGCGTGGCACATAGGCGACGGCGACAGCAGCAGCGACGACGACGACGAATACGAGGCTGCCATGTGGCGCGACGACGGCGGCATGGTCAGCGTGGGCGGCAGCATGGGCGGCAGCATGGCGAGCTACCACACGGCCGACGCGCGCAGCGCGCAAGACTCGTTCCACTCCCTGGGATCATCCGCGTCCCACACGTCCGCGTCGCAGCCGTCCGCGTCAGCATTCGAAAGCGCCAGGCAGCAGGCGGAGGGGGCGGAGCAGGGGAGCGACTTACCGCGCGCCCCCTCAGGGGGAGGCTCGGGTGAAGTCTCGGGGATAGGTTCGGGGTTAGGCTCGGTGGTAAGTTCGGGCGCGGATCCGGACGCGGTGCGGTACCTGGCGGAGTCCCCCGACGAGGCGGCGTTTGTGGTGGCGGGGAAGCGCATGGGCATGGTGTTCGCGGGGCGGCAGGGGCGCGAGGTGCGCGTGCTGGAGTACGCGGAGGGGTGGGCGCTACAGGACGAACGGCGCTACACATTACTGCACACCATCGAGTTCACCAGCCACCGGTGGGTAGGAGCGCGCTAGCCGTGCAAGGCACAGGTAGGGGCGCGAGGCGCGCGTGCTGGAGTTCAAGGAGGGGTGGGCGCTACAGGACGAGCGATGGTACACGCTGCTGCACAACATCGAGTTCACCAGCCACAGTTACCACAGCACGCGTGCCAGGCACACGTAGCGCGTGTGAGGCACAGGTATCCAATGTGTGTGTGTGCGCGCCACACCCCATACCATGCCCTCACCGATTCCCATGCTCCTTGCCCTCCCCATACCCCAACATCTCCCCTTTCTCCTCCTCCCCTTCCCCCTCCTCTCCCCTTCCCCCTCCTCCCCATACCCCTCCTCCTCCCCTTCCCCTTCCTCCTACCCCTCACCATACAGGAAGCGCATGAGCGTAATCGTGCGCACGCCAGAGGGCAATCTTGTCCTTTTGTGCAAGGGCGCCGACAACATCATCATGGACCGCCTGGGCGGCAGTGACGTGGCGCAGCAGCACCGGCCAATCACGGAGCAGCACATGCGCACGTACGCGGAAGCGGGGCTGCGCACGCTGGCAATCGCGTGGAAGGAGATTGGCGAAGAGGAGTATGCCAGCTGGCAGGTGCGGATTGGGCGGGCGAAGTGGATGGATGGGAGGGGTGCACGATTGGTTGCATGTGCCTCATTTGGCTCACATGCGCAATGAACCATGGCATGCCACACACACTCATGACCATGGCGCAGTGAATGTGCGAGTCTCCAACGCGCATATCGCATGTGCGCTGTGTTGCACTGTTGCATGGCATGGCTGGTGGCAGGCGCGGTGGGAGAGCGCCAAGGGCAACGTGGCGGACGTGGCGGCGCAGGCAGCGGAGCTGGAGGCACTGGCGGACGAGATGGAGAGAGGACTCACGCTGCTGGGGGCCACAGCGATCGAGGACAAGCTGCAGGTGGGCGCTTGGAGTGCATGGGTGGGTGGCATGTGTGGTGAGCTTGGGACACAGGCGGTTGAACTGGAGGCACTGGCGGATGAGATGGAGAGGGGACTCATCCTGCTGGGCGCCACGGCCATCGAAGACAAGCTGCAGGTGGGCGCTTGGGTGTGGGTGTCGGTGCAAGTGTGAGTGTGGGTGGTGTGCGTGTGAGGTGCTTGCACGATGTCAGGTGCAGGCAGCGGAGCTGGAGGGGCTGGCGGACGAGATGGAGCGGGGGCTCATCCTGTTAGGCGCCACAGCGATCGAAGACAAGCTTTACGCAGGTGCGCGCTTGAAGTGCATGGGTGAGTGGTGTGTGTGTCAAGTGCTTGGGTGTCAGGTGAGGAGAAGCTGTTGCTGAGAGCTAATCTGAAGTCTCATACCCTCCACCACCCTCTCCCCACGGCAGGTGGGAGTGCCGCAAGCCATAGAGGCCATGGCAGCAGCGGGCATACGCCTGTGGGTGCTGACTGGGGACAAGCTCGAGACGGCCGTCAACATCGGCTTCGCGTGCCGCCTGCTGCGCCCCGGCATGCAGCAGCACGTGGTGTTTCTCGAGGATAACGACCGCCTGACTGCTGATGCCGCTGCTGTTGGCGCGGATCCCGCAGAGGTGAGAGTGGTGTTGCCTTGCTGCATGCTGCATATGCCTCTGTCAAGGTGTAACTGCTGCGCCCCGCCATGCAGCAGCACGTGGTGTTTCTTGAAGATAACGACCGGCTGACTGCAGACGCTGCTGCTGGTACCGACCATGCCAAGGTGAGGCACCATTGGGGGGGTTGGGGTGTGATTCTCAGGCATGCAGCAGCACGTGGTGTTTTTGCAACATAACGACCGGCTGACTGCAGACGCTGCTGCTGGTACCGTCCCTGCCAAGGTGAGGCACTATTGGGGGGGCAGGGGGGTGATTCTCAGGCATGCAGCAGCACGTGGTGTTCCTCCAAGATAATGACAAGCTGGTTGCTGATGCCGATTGAGCTGCTGGGGAGGGCAGGGCAGGGCATGGGATGTTGTGTGTGTGTCGGTATTCGCCATGTGGAGTGTTTGCCTGGCTGCTTCGTGCATGCATTTGCCACGCCGCCCCACCCACCCACTCACCCCTGCTACTCACTCCTCTGTTCAAAGAGCCGAAGGTCTTGGAAAAGGGTCACGGGCAAGGATGGGGGAGTATGGGCACACTTACCGCTATGGAAGAAGCTCTTTCAGCTCAGTGGTTAGCAGCTGAGCTTCACCAACATCCCCCTCATCCTCCCCTCCTCCTCCCCTCCTCCTCCACTGCGGTCTCCACCCCTTCCAGTTCGCAGCGAGCGCCATCCGCGCGCAGATCCTCTCCGCCAAGTCTTGCTGCATGGCCAAACTTCCCCCATCCTCTCCCCCCCTCACTCGCCCCTCTCCCTCCCGCCCAACCTCCCCTCTTCCCCCTTTCCAGTTCGCAGCGAGCGCCATCCGCGCGCAGATCCTATCCGCCAAGTCCGCCGCCACGGCGTCGGGCGCCTCTCTCGCCGCGCCGCACGCGCTGATCATCGACGGCAAGGCGCTCGCGCACGTGCTGGCGGACGCCGCCCTGCGCAGCGACTTCCTCCGCGCCGCGCTCGCGTGCGCGTCCGTGATCTGCTGCCGCGTGTCGCCCAAGCAGAAAGCGCAAGTCACGGAGCTAGTAGGCTCGGAAGGGGGGATGATAACCCTCGGAATCGGCGACGGCGCAAACGATGTGGGGATGATTCAGAAGGCACATATCGGCGTGGGGATTGCGGGGGAGGAGGGGCAGCAGGCGGTAATGGCAGCTGATTTTGCGATCGGGCAGTTCCGGTTTGTAGAGCGGTTGCTGTTGGTGCACGGGTCGTGGAGCTACACTCGCATTACATACATGATAAAATACTTTTTATACAAGTGTCACACATTCGCCTTCACCATCTTTTTCTTCAACGGGCTCGCAATGTTTTCGGGCAGCCCGGTGTACTTTGATTGGCTGCTCGCGCTGTTCCAAGTGCTGTTTTCAGCGCTGCCCGTGGCGGTGGTGGGAGCGTTCGATCAGGACGTGAAGGCCATCTACCACATCAGATACCCGCGCCTCTACGCGCAGGTGAGCACGTCTCCCTTCTCCCCTCCCCCTTCGCTGGAGTGATTGTAGTATTCAGGATCTTTCCTTATGCTCCCCCTTACCTATCCTCTCTCCCTCCTTTCAAGCGAGCCAGCCCCTTGCCCACTCTCCTGCACCTACCACATTTCCGAACTCAGTAAGTTCCCCACAAAACACAAACTGATCTCATTAACCCCCCACCCACCCTGCTTTCCAACCACCAGAGCCAGCGCAACCGTCTGTTCACAGCGGGGGCGATCGGCATGGCGATGGGCAAGGACATGGTGCAGGCGGGCATTCTCCTTGCGCTCTCCTTGTTTCTTTCGTCCCCACACCAACTGATCTCTTGACCCCCAACTTGCTTCTCCAACTCCCCCCCAACCACCAGAGCCAGCGCAACCGGCTCTTCACAGTGGGTGCAATCGGCATGGCGATGGCAAAGGGCATGGTGCAGGCGGCCATTCTCTTCGCACTCTCCTTCCTGCCACTGCTGCTCTCCTCCTCCGGAACCGATGGTCGTGTCCTAGACGTCACAGCGCAGGGCTCCATCCTGTTCACGGGGCTCGTGCTCGCAGTGAATCTCGACCTCGCCATCACCATCCAGGTCAGCCCCCTCTAATCCTTCAGTTGACTCACTTGCGAGTTGTCCCAAGGAGCTTGTTGGACGTCACAGCGCAGGGCTCCATCTTATTCACAGGGCTCGTGCTCGCAGTCAATCTCGACCTTGCCATCACCACCCAGGTGAGCCCCCTCTAATCCTTCACAGTCGACTCACTTGTGAGTTGCCCCAAAAGGCGTGTTGGACGTGACAGCGCAGGGCTCCATTCTGTTCACGGGGCTCGTGCTCGCAGTGAACCTCGACCTTGCTATCACCATCCAGGTCGGTCCCCTTTCCTCTTGTGCCGCTTAAGTTGCCTCACTTATGAGGCGCCTCAACGGTCGTCTTGTACCTCAACTCCTTTCCCTCACTAGACTCATGCTCATCCCCCTCTCACCATCCCATCGCACCCATTCCCCCCACCAGTGCTGGACGCTCATCCACCGCATGGCAGTGTGGGGATTCATCGCCCTCTGGTTCCCCTTGTGGCTTGTGTGACACTCATTCCGTTCCACACCCTCTTCTCCTCTCACCACCCCATCCCACCCCACCCCACACCTTCACCAGTACTGGACGCTCCTCCATCACATGGCCGTGTGGGGATCCATCGCCCTGCCTTCCCATCCCACCACCACACCCTAACCCCACACCACAACCCCACCAGTACCGGACGCTCATCCACCACATGGCCGTGTGGGGTTAGACCCCCCTCTGGTTCATCTTGTGGCTTGTGTGAAACTCATTCCGCACCCCCTCTCACCACCCCATCTCACCTCCACCAGTACTGGACGGTCATCCATCATCTAGCCGTGTGGGGATCCATCGCCCTCTGGTTCGTCTTCCTCGCCGTCGTCAGCTACGTGCCCCCCACGCTCTCCGCCTCATTCTACGGCATGGCGCCCATGCTGCTGCCACGCCCCACCTACTACCTCATAGTGCTGCTGGCCACGGTGGCGGCGCTGCTGCCTGGCTTCGCAGCAGCCAGCATCACGCGGTATCTGGCACCTACAGACGTGGAGATTGTGCAGGAGGTGCAGCAGCAGGACCAGAAAAGGCGCCTCACTCGCCTCGCCACCATGAGGAGCAGCAGGAGGAGATAAAGGTGGCAGTGTTGTGTAGCTTTATGTTGTACCTCACAGTTGGGCTGTTGATTTCACAGGGCAGGTGCGGGTCGTGTATTGATCACCCGAGCTGAGAAGCAAGATCAGCTCTCTAGCACCAAGCGCCACAATAAATCCCTGTAAATCTTATGTCTTAACGTAATAAAACAAGTCAGTGTTAGTCAAGTCGGCTATTTTGATTGTCAAGCTAAAGAGTGGCTACAACAATGTTGAATGCTAGTAATCTGGCGCCAGGATGAGCCAGGCGAGGGCTGATAAACAACAACGGTTTAGACACAAAGCGTGTCCCTGTCTCTTGTAAAGGGCCTCTGAAATAGTCTCCTCTGCTGCTGCTCTCTCTTTCGCGCCTTACTATGCACACATGAAACTAGGCGTCCGACGTTTCTGCGACTCAATCGCGCTGTTCCTGCCCCATGAACGACAGCTTCGCATGCTCCGCGAATCGCCGTGCGACGTTGAGATGTTCCAGCACCTGGCGATCTTCTCGCGGCACTAGCACGACTTTCACGCCGTCAATTGCGGCCATGGCGTTGTTGATCTGCCCCATCACCAGCAGCCGCTGCTTCTGCCGCAGCAGCACCACCGCGTTCTGCAGCGCGCGCGCCGTCTGCACCAGATTCACGTAGTACTTGCGCCCGCCGCGCGACTCCCCCGCGCGCGCATCCGCCCCGGCGGGGCTGTCCGCAGCGACGGCTGCAGGGCGGAGCCAGAAGGAGGGGGCGAGCGGGGAGGCATCGGCGTGCAGCAGGTGGGCGGCGCGGTTGACTAGAGAGGCTGATTCTTGTAGCAGCTGTATCGTCTCGCGCACGTTGTATTGTAGCGGACCCTGCGGTTTTCTGCACGGAGAGGGAGCAGCGCATCGGGAGAAGCGGGTTTAGTTCAAGAGAGACTAAAAAATGCTTAGCTTTTACCCTGAGACTACGATTTATATCAGCCCACAACTCATGCCATGTTTGCGCTAAAGCAGAGGTTTCGGTCAGCTAGGTTGGCACCTTAGCTCGCGGCGGTAGGGGACGGCGCTAGTGGTTTGGAAGCCCGAGTCGGATAGCAGCTCGGGCGTCGCGACGAGCAGCACCAGCGCCAACGCCGCTACGTTCGTACATACTCGACGCGCGTCCATGGCGGGCTGGCAGAGAGACGTCGATGCTATGGAAATTTGGTTAACTCTCTTATTCGGGGCCGATGCTTGCTGTGCTACGTATGCTTGGTTATACACCGATGATGATGCCTACTGCGCTTCCTCTAAGGACGAAGTGGAAACTATTAGTGTCTGATAATTGCCGCACAACTGTTTGAGACAGTGCTAATATTATCTCTAAAACATGCCAAAATATTGCTGCCACAGAGTCGCTCAACTGGAGAAAAGCCGTGTGTTTCGGGAAACGAAGTGAAGTGCAAGGGATGGAACAAGCGGAGAAGGAACAGGGTAGTCTCTCTTTTGAGGTGGCGTGTTATTTTGACTCGCAGTGTGCTGCAGGTGGGGGAGGAGAGAAGGCCAATTTTCTGCTGGTGGAAATTGAAAATCGAGCGCGTGCGGTTCGGTGATGGGAGGTAGAAGGAGAAATGCGGCCCGGAGGGAAGGACGAAACCGCGAAAAGGTCATTCAAGCGAAGCCTGTGATTAGTGGATATCGTCGACTGCACACTGAACGACTGACTGGCGACGAGCGACTTTCGTCGAACTGAGAGGAGAGCTTCCGTTATTCTTCGCGACGCACAAAACGGTCGCTCGTGGTTTGTCGTACATATCTTCGCTAAAAACTTTGCCATTAGAATATTACATTCCAATTTACACCCAGTACATGTGCTGCTAATGCTTCTGGTTTGGAAGCATCCTAATTCATTGAGATACGAGCCCAGAGCAGAGACAGCACAATCGCCAAAAGCATAGCCCAGACAATGACAAGCGTTGGCATGCGGCTGCTTCGGCCCATCAAACCCTGCCAACCACAAAAACATTATCCAATCAGCGCAATCCGCTGCAAGAACCCACATAGCTGAACTTGTTCAAGCACGAATCACGACCTCACCTTCGTAAACGGGTAGAGATGCAGAAGAACCCACACAGAGAAGAACACCTGGCCGACGAGTTGACCTGCACGCCAGAAACAGTATTACACACGGGGGCCACATCAGAGAATGAGGATAGGCTACCAATGGAGTGGGAGCAGCACATGCAAGTACTGCAACTGCCTAGACGGGTGGAGCTTACCGATCTGGTCGGCATTCGAGGTGGGTGGCTTGATGGGGTGGCCGTATCCGCTGATGGTGGAGTCGGTGGACTGCCAGTTGTTGATTGCGTGCGCCACTCCCGCCAGGATGGCGAATGCATTCACAATGATGATGGTGAGCGGGATGAGGAACAACCACGTCCACTGCAGAATAGGAGGGTGGGGAGGGGGGAACGTAAGGGGCAAGGGGTGGGTCATGGAGAGGAGAAAATGGGGGGGGGAGGGGGGGGGGGGGAAGAGGGTGAAACGGGGCAAACTGATAACAAGAATGTGAAAACAAGGTGTACAATGATAGCGAGCTACATAACTGACAGTTACACGGCTCACGGCATGCGGCTTAGAGCTCAGGGCTCACCCTGACAAGTGTAGAGCTCTGCGAGCTCATCGTCCATGTCCTGGGAGGGCCTTGGAGGTGCACAGTGAAAGCCGGCGCTGCAACAGTGACCGTCACGGCTACAGCTACCAGTGAGCGCTCACAGCTTACCCTGACGGTATAGAGCTCAGCGAGTTCATCCTCCATGTCCTGCGATGCCTTGGAGGTGAGCGTGAAATGCACCTCCACCCCCGCCACCACCTTCAGCAGGCCCTGTGCACACCATGCCAGTGATACGGTGGTGTGGGGTTGGGAGGGATGTGAGAAGAGGGGAGGGAGGGGCTTCAGGTGCTGAAAGTGGGAGCTGGGACGGGGAGTGTTACCTGGAAGAGCTTGGCAATCTTGAGAGACAGATGAGGATCCATGGCGGGGGTGTGGCAGGAAAGAAGGGAGCACAAATACAGCACCGAATAATTATGGCAATACACACATAATATCACGCACAGACGGTTAGAACAGGTAGCAAAGAGGGAGAAATTTAGAGCACAGCAAACATTACAACCATATAGTTCAAGAAATGGTAGCAAAGATTGGCTGATGTTTTGAGTGCACCACATCACCATGCTACACCGCATCAAAAGACTGTACGAACGCACCACAGCCCACCGCACCGCATTACCTGCATGACGGCAGCAAAGTGCGCGGAGGTGCCTCCAATGACCCAGAACTGCTCGTTGCGCCACCACTCCTCCAGGGACACTCCTGCCCATTTCAAGAGCAAATAGCGTATAGCAGCACAACAGGCTTGAATGGTAGCCTCAAACTTGTCTAGGGGAACAAGAAACAACTAAGATAAATGATGTGCAGCGCTCTGAGTGGACAAAGAGTGCATGGCGGAAACAATTTAGTGCTCACCGCTCCAGCGGATCTCAAGCAGTGCAGTGGCGAAGATGGAGAGGAAGAGCGCGAGGAAATAGAGCACCGCCCAGTTGTCAATCTGCGAGAGGGGGAAGATTGATCGTGCATGAGAGAACACAGGCGGGGAATTTACAGGTGCAGGAATGCAAACCATCGTAACACGGCCAGGGTTGTGCAAAATATCAGCACACTGACATTGGGCACGATGAATTGGCCGGAGAAGAGGCTGATGGCGGGCAGGAAGCAGTAGACTGTGAGTGCGATGGACGTGAACGGGTACAGCGCCGTGTTCATGTAGCTGCGTGTCGGAGGAAGGGAGGGGACAGAAGGTGACACATCTCTACCAGGGATTGTAAAAATCACAATGATGATTGTAGCAGCGCAGTTGATTTACAGAAGAGGGAGGGAAGGAAGAGCGCGAGAGTGGAGGGCGTGGAAGGTGTGGTGTGGGTGGCATTGGGAGCCTCACGCGATGCGCTGGATGGGTTTGAGGTGGGAGCAGCAGTCGGCCCACAGGGGGTTGTGCTGTGAGAAGAATATCTCCACCGACCCCGTCGCCCACCGCAGCACCTGCGCCAACCGATCCGTCATGTTGATGGGCGCTGAGCCCTGAGGGAGGGAGTTGCCGATCAGGGGAGGAGTGAGAAGCGGGAAAATGACGGGAGCATAAGTCGATCCATCTGGGATGAAAGCAAACACGGCGCGAGGAGAAAGCTGAGGAAGGGTTTGGGGCTGACCTTGAAGGCGGGGCGGGGTGGCATGCAGTAGACAGAGCGCCAGCCGCGTGTGTGCATCTTGTAGCCTGTCACTATGTCCTCCGTTACACTGCCGTACACCCACCCACACTGCCCAAGCCAACCCGCCACCAGGGAGAGGAAGTGTGGGGGGATCGTTTGGTCGGGTTGGGATGGCAGCGCAGTGTGTACAAGGGGAGAAGATGCAATGTCAGCAGGTGTAGCGGTTGAGGGACAGCGACATGAGAACGGTGGATTAATGATTGGTGCAAATTGAAGGGTGCAACTTACACTGGTGCCCCATTCCGTGTTGTCCTCGTATCCACAGGAAATCACCAGGATGACGTCACTCAAGACCTCATGCGGGTCCTCTGTGGCCTGTGACATAGAGGGGGCAGACATATGAGCGTGTTAGAGCACCACATCACTGCAGTATGGCATTGTGCTGCTAGCACAACAGCGCATGGCAGAACACACAGGAGGAATAATGCAACAAGGAAGGCAGGACAGAATGGATGGAGCAAGGCAGAGCTGCATCCCCGACATGGTGACACCTTGGCAGGATGGGATGGCATGGTACGCACCATAGCCCCCCCCACGCCATCAAATACAGTCATGATGAAGTTATGGCACAGCCCAAACCGCTTCACATGCCACCGAGTCGGCAGCAACGCCGCCTCCTCCCCCTCCTCCCACCCCCTCTCCCCCCCGCTCCCCTCCCCCCCACGCTCCCCCATCCGCCCTCCCCGCCCCTCCTCCATCCCCCCCATCGACACCCCGTCCTGCTCCCTCTCCTCCCGCCTCCCACCCTTGCGCCCAAACCACCGGCGCTTCACCCTCCCCCCATACGTGAACGGGCCTGCCCCATCCTCCCCCAGCCCCCCCTGCTGCGTTCCCCCAGCAGCAGCTGTGCCAGCAGCGAGGTGGGAGGGCAGGCGCACGGGGGAGGGGCGGCCAGAGAGCCAAGAGGGGCAGAGGGAGCAGCACGTGCGGCGCTTGGTGGGGGTCTTGGGAGGCGGGTCAAAGCCGTAAAGGGCCTGGAGGAGGAAGAAAGGGAAGGGGGAGAGGGAAGGACGGACCAAAAAGCATCAAGCATTGAACGGAAGCGGGAGGAGGAGCAGAAAATTATTAAAGGGGATAGGTGCGGCGGTTGGATGGACCCAGAGACAGCAGGTCCAATGTGATGTGGAATGGGGGGCTCAGAATCAAGTCACTCCTTGCACTGGCGGCAAAATAGATCTGACTTGTGCCCGAGCTCTCAACTGCGTTTCCAGCCTCACCTGGCGGTAAAACACACAGCCTGTGCCCACATACATGGGGCCCTGCCCTGCTGCCTATTGAGAGTGCCAAAAGCCCAACCAACTTGTAAAGTCTCAGCAGTCGTGTGCCTCACCTGGCGGCGGAAGACACATCCCGAGCCCACATACATGGGCCCCTGCTGCCCTTTGAGACTGTCTCAAAAGCCCAACGAACTTGTGAAGTCTCAGCAGTCGTGTGCCTCACCTGGCGGCGGAACACACAGCCCGTGCCCACATACATGGGTCCCTGCTGGCCGTCCAGCCCCTTCATGTTCACCTGCTCGCCATGGCCGTGGGGTGGGGGAATGGTAACAGGCTTGCTTATGCTGAGTGTCTTCGTAGCGGGGATGACATGCATGTTCATGGGAGCTGGGGCTTGTGCAGACAAACGTAAATAATTAGCACATACTGCATCATATGAGAGAGTGTGCGAAGCGGTCACTCTTATCCACGCAGCTAAAGCACTGCTTCTAATGGCATGCACCATATCGCACCGCATACTAGCTAATGATTCATGAGCACGAGGGGGGCTCACTCACATCGTAGAAGACAGTGTTGTGGTTGGCGTAGCGGTCGCTCTTATCCACTCCGTCAAAGCGTTGTAGCTAATAGCAGCATACACCATACACTGTATGACCAGCACGTGAGATGAGGAGCTCACATCGTAGAAGACAGTGTTGTGGTTGGCGTAGCGGTCGCTCTTATCCACGCCGTCAAAGCGCTGCGGGAACTGCACAAAGCACACCCGCCCACCCTTGAGCGGGTCTGCCAGGAAGCAGATGGCCTGAGGGAGAGGGGGGTGGCGGGTGCGGTAAGGGAGAAAAAGGGGAAGGCGGGAGGTGGGGAAAGCGGAATGGGGGGAACCGGAAAGGGGCCTAAGGGGAGAGAGGGGAAAAGGGGAATGGGGAGAGAGGGAAGGCAGACACCTGAAGGTAGGGGGTATGGGGACGGCGAGATCGTAGCGAAGCAGCATAATACATGCTAAGCAGCGTGGAGCGAGCAGGATACCTCGCGGATGGCGCATGAGTTGTTGATGTAGTGGTCGCAGTCCAGGTTGAGGATGAAGGGTGCATTGGTCAGCAGCGCCGATGCCCTCATCTGTTGGGCACGGCCATGGGGTGGGGCGAAGGTGGGTGAGTGCGTGGGTGGTTGGAGCAAAAGGGTTGTGCGATTGGCAAAGGGAAGGGATGCTGGGAGAAGGAATGATGGGTTGGCGCACGGCAAGGCATGGAGGGAATGTGTGTTGGTGGCATGACTAACAAATTTGCAAGAAGCTCCCTTGCACCCACACCAGACACAGCACATAGCACACCACGCCACACCACACGCTCTCACCATAGCATTCATGGCTCCAGCCTTCTTGTTGTGGTCGTAGTTAGGGCGCTTCTCCCGCGACACATACACCTGCCGTGACGTGCACACGGTGCCATACCACAGGGAGAGAAGAGGCAGTGCATAATTGGGACAGGGAGAAGGTGATCCAGGGGCAGGGAAGCAACAAGGCAAAAAAAGAGGATTGGTAAAATATGCACTCCATGGCACTGGTGTTGTTTGAGCAAGTGTGCATACCAGGTAGGGGAGTGGGTCGCCATTGACGTCCTTGGTCTCTCCGTTGGGCTGCAGAAACACCTGATCGGGGTAAGGCGGGCGATGGGGAGAACAAGGAGGCCAGGGAGGAAGCATGAGAGTAGGGTAAGGCTGGGGCGGAATCAGAGAGACAGGACAGTTACCTTTCCATATCCAGCAGCCCTGGTAAACATTCTCTCTCCCACAGCATGTGTATCCCCGCACCTGGATCATGCCCACATGGTCGGAGCGGTCGTTGCCAGGCCAGGCAGTGCCATCAGGCATGGTCCACCCGTCGACTCATGTGTGCGCTCTTTCACCAGAACTACATTAGCACCACCACTCTGCACCCGAGTCATGCCCACATGCTGCACGCCGCACCTGGATCATGCCCACATGGTCGGAGCGGTCGTTGCCAGGCCAGGCAGTGCCATCGGGCAGGCATGGTCCACCCATCGACTCATGTGTGCGCTCTTTCACCAACACTAGATTAGCACCACCACTCTGATACCTGAGTCATGCCCATATGCTGGACGCCTCACCTGGATCATGCCGACATGGTCGGAGCGGTCGTTGCCAGGCCATGCAGTGCCATCAGGCATGAGGGCTGTCCTGCGCACTCTCTCATTCACCAGCACCACCACTCTGCACCTGAGTTACACTCCTCACCTGGATCATGCCGACGTGGTCGGAGCGGTCGTTGCCGGGCCAGGCAGAGCCATCAGGCATGGTCCACCCGTCACTCATGTGCACTCTCTTTCACCCGCACCTCCTTACTCTAATCATGCCCACGTGCTGCACCGCGTGCACCAATTGGCATCATCACCACCCCACCGCACCTGGATCATGCCGACATGGTCAGAGCGGTCATTGCCGGGCCACGCGGTGCCATCGGGCATGGTCCACCCGTCTCGAGGGCTGTCCTGCGCCTTCACCACCAGCGCGTTCATTCGCACCTTGAACTCATCGTACTCGCGCTGAGGGGGAAGGCAAAGGAAGGGGGTGAGGGGGGTGGGTGGAGGGGCGCAGAAGAACGGGTTTGTGAGGTGCCTGGAAAGCCACCACAAGGGCGCTCCATTTGTACCTAAAGCTTGCTCTAGAAAAAAATAACACTCACTCCCTCCATGACATCCTCCTCTTCCTCACCTTCATCCGCCTCCTCTCCTTGACAAAGTCCGCATTAACCTTCCCCAGCAGGTAGTCCACGCCCCCAGCGAAGTACATCTCAGGAACCCCCACAGCCCCGCACTTCTACCCATTCCCCCCCTAGCTCCCTCTTCTCACCTTCATCCTCCTCCTCTCCTTGACGAAATCCGCGTTGACCTTCCCCAGCAGGTAGTCCACGCCCCCAGCGAAGTACATCTCAGGGGCACGCGGCTCAATGGCGTGCTTGCGGCAGAAGGGCACCCACAGCCGGCTGAAGTTGGCCGTCTCCATGAGCGCCTCGAACGTCAGCATGGACGCCCCGTCGTCCGACAGATAGCATGCCACCCTGGGGAAAAAGAGGAGAAGAAAGGGGCAGAAGGGGGCCGGTGGAGAGAAGGCAGACAGGGAGGAGCTGAGCGGCAGAAGGGCACCCACAGCCGGCTGAAGTTGGCCGTCTCCATGAGCGCCTCGAATGTGAGCATGGACGCGCCATCGTCAGATAGGTAGCACGCCACCCTGGGGAAAAAGAGGAGAAGAAAGGGGCAGAAGGGGGCCGGTGGAGAGAAGGCAGACAGGGAGGAGCTGAGCGGCAGAAGGGCACCCACAGCCGGCTGAAGTTGGCCGTCTCCATGAGCGCCTCGAATGTGAGCATGGAGGCGCCATCGTCAGATAGGTAGCACGCCACCCTGGGGGGATGGTGCGGGGAGAGATGGGGAACGAAGCGTGGCAGAAGGGGAGCAGGGGCAGGGGCATGGCGAACCCTTGGATACACACTCTGTGGGCGCACGCAAGCTGGTGGAGAGAAGGTGGACGGGCAACAAACTATCCTACCCACCCACCACACTACGGATTCAAGACTCAGTCATCCATGACCCCCCTGCCACCTCACAAACTCTTCACTGCCTCTTCCCTTCCGCATCCATGTGTCAGAGTCCTACCGCCCACATGCGCACCCCACCAATCCACGTGGCGGCAGCTTACTTGTCAACGGGGTAGTCAGCAGCAAGCACGGAGAGAATGACGTTGGCCGTGACGAGGGGCGGCTCCTTGAAAGGGTCTGCTGTCGACACAAACACGTCCACCTGCGGTAGCTCGCAGGGGCGCCCCTCCTGCTCGTATCTGTGTGCACGAGAGTGGGGGATGGGGGGAACACTGGTAAGCAGTTGCTGCATTGTCAAGAGCGCCATACGACGTTTCCTGGAAAGAAGGTACTGATGAAACACCCCCCTGCAGCTGCTTGTATAACATACTCGCCACTCGCCAATCAAGACAGTTCAGGCATGAACGAATGGCGAAGAGTGGAGTGATGAAAGCACAAGTACAAGTGCAGAGCACAGCGTTGTAAGGAGGAAAGCAATGAACCCCGGATCCCAAGCACCAAGTGAAAGGGCACCTGAGGGAGAGGCGGTTGAGGAAGGTCTCCCGGGTGATGGGCGACCACTTGGGCAGCTGATCAAATATCCAGGAGATTCCAAACCTGGCGCCAGGTGAAAAAAACAGAGGATAAAAAACAAAGAAGAACAGAAAAGGTTCAAAGCCAGCTGCGATTAACAAAGGAGGCACTACTGAGGGCACGGAAGCGATGGAAGAGCAGATACTAATAATAACATCTGCTGAACGTCCTTTCGCAGACGAGGATCCATGGCGTGAGTGGCTGACCAGATTTCACAGACGACGGAGGCAAGCCAGAGCAGGAAGGCGGAGTTGTTGGGGTTGGTGACTCGGAACTTGAAGAAGAGAATCATCACCACAAACCGCACCACCACCGCGAACCTGCTCCCACGTGCCACACACACATGCAACACACACATAAACGCACACACATATGGACCGAGGGTTGGCAGAAGGGAAACAAAACATTGAAAGAAAAAGACAAGGACCCGTCGACAGCTTGCTCATAAAGTTTAGGTGAAGGATTGAGGGCGGCGACAGGCACATGGTACGTACGTGCACTCATGCCACCCACCTGTAGGGGTTGAGCATGCTGGACGGCACTGGCACCTTGCGCGACAAGGGGCGGCGTGTGTCATCCACTCTGCGATGGGGACGAGCCGAGCAGGGAACAAGGAGCAGAGATTGAGGAGAGCAGAGGATAAAGGTGGTGGAGTGGCGCAGAGCAGTGGCATGAGGAGCGATCGAAAAGTGCAACTAGCAACACAGGATAAGAACGAACGTGGTTGTGTGTGGTGGATTGGGTGGGTTCGAAGGAGTGGAGAGGGGGCGAGGCAAGGGTGGGGAAGGGTGGTGGGCGCACATGAATGGCGAGCCGTCAGCAGAAGCACCATCATTAGGCATCACACCCATTCCACCGCCGCCACCCCCCACCCCGCCTGCAGAGGCGTCAGCATCATGCACAGGGATGATGGCTGTGGAGGGGCCACCCTCAGCCACACCACCAGCTGCACCACCAGCACCAGCAGCAGCACCAGCAGCAGCACCAGCAACACCTGCGCCAGAAACACCTGCGCCAGAAGGACCGTCCCCACTAGAGGCCAAGGCGGACCACTGGCGACGGGGGGTGAACCAGACGATGCTGCCATAGCCGTAGCTGGAGGGGCTGCCTGCACTGTTGGATGATGGGCTCTCGTCCCCCCCTCCACTCGGACTGGCACCACCACCACCACCACCAACTAAGCCAACCCCACCGCCGCCAGCGCTCACTGCGTTGCCCTGCCCACCAGCCCCGCTGCTGCTGCCCGCAGCAACAGGCCCTGGTGCTGGTGGTGGTGATGCGGACGCGTGGGATGCAGATGAAGGGGAGGACGACGAGGCTTCCAGTGCGAGGTGGGGCGCGGAGGAGGAGAGCGGCGAGGCGAGAGGCAGGGAGGACGGTGGGAGAGGGGACGAGGGGAGGGCATGGGCCGCGGCGGGGTAGGCGGGGGAGGGCGCAGGGGGAGCAGTGGCGTGGGGAGGGGACGCAGGGGTGGCAAGGGCGGGGGCGGAGGGCGCAGGGGCGTCGGGAATGGACTCCTCGAGATGGCGGATGACCTCCTCTGGTGGATCGTCGCCCACTGGCGGACTGCCTGCTCGCACATGATGTAGCAGCAGCAGCAGCAGCATGGGGACACGACACACGGTGGGATGGCATGGCAGCGAGAGACACACAGGTGAGGGCGGGGCAATGAGGGAACATTCGTAGCTGAAAGGTCCGGATTCAGCAGAGCAAGCAGCGACGGGAGCAGGAGGGGAGCGGAGGGAGCCAGGTGGAGAGGTCCGAGTAACGTGCTTCACCCCGAGAGTAGCCGAACGAATAATGAGTACGGCGAGCAAAAGGGGGGAGGGGGAAGGGAAGGGGGAGGCACTGGTGAGGCGAAGGGGAGGCATCGCTTACCCGCGAGGCGGCGGTATTTGGAGAGGCACTGCGGGCAGCGGTTGCCCTCGTGGGCGCGGATGTACTCGTAGCAGGGCCGGCAGATGCGGTAGGCGCACTCGCACGGCACGAACTCGCGCCCCTCCGCGTCCACCCCGATGGCCTGCTGGCAGATGGCGCACGGCAGCTGCCCGTGTGTCTCCGATGGGCCTGCCACGTCCTGTTGCCAGGGTAGGATGGAAGGGGGAAGGGGTTGCTGATGAGACGTGTCTCAAGGCATGGTACGATCTCAGGGCCCTCTGCGTTCCACACCGATGGCCTGCTGGCAGATGGCGCACGGCAGCTGCCCGTGTGTCTCTGATGGACCCGAGACATCCTGTTGTCAGGGTATGATAAGAAAGCGGAAAGGGTTTTTGAGACGCGACTCAAGGCATGGTACGACCTCAGAGCCCTCCGCGTCCATCCCGATGGCCTGCTGGCAGATGGCGCATGGCAGCTGCCCGTGTGACTCGGACGGGCCCGAGACGTCCTGTAGTCAGGGTAGGATGGAAACGGGGTAATTGAAACGCGTCCCAAAGCATGTTACGATCCCATCCCCCGCCGCGTCCATCCCGATGGCCTGCTGGCAGATGGCGCACGGCAGCTGCCCCTGTGTCTCCGAAGAGCCCGCCACGTCCTGTTTTCAAAATATGATGATCATGAGGAAGGGGTTGCTGAGACGTCTTAAAGCATGGTATGCGAGGCGAGGCGAGCATGCCATGGCATGAGCGACAAAGGATGCTGGGAATGAATGGGATCAGAAGCAATAGATGCATGCACGGCATGGCGCGGAGAGCGTACGTCGTCGATGACGATGGAGGCGGCCACGGAGAGTTCCTTGCGCATGCGACTCCCCGCCACCATCACGTTCTCCATCGCCGCCTGATGATGCTGATGCTCTGCTGCGGCTGCTGCTGATGCGGATGCTGCTGATGAAGCTGCTGCTCTTGCTAGCGTTGCTGCTGCTGCTCGTCCTGCTGATGCTGCGATGAGCTCCTGCTTTTCGTGCTGCTGCTACAAATGGCTCGTCCAACGCCGGGAGGGTGCCGCTGATGCGCAGAGACGTCGCCTGAATCCCACAGCACGGCACAGCGTCAGCAGGAAACCGTCGGGTACTGCTCACGCTCGTACTACTCACGCTCGTACAGCTCTACCATTCAAAAGGTTCCATGAGGCTCCACGGAGAAAGGCGGTGCTCACCCGTCCGTCGTTAGTTTCTGTTAACTCTCACTCGCTCCTGTGTGCCGGACTGGCAGCTTAAAAACGAATAATCAGCGGCCCCGGCACCGTACAAAGAAGGCCTACTTGAGAAAGCTTCAGATTCTCTGGCAGCCTGAAATGCATTGCGACCGGCACTGAATACGGAAGGAAGACCTAGTTCCTCGCTACAACCCCAGCCACGAAACTCGCTCGATCGCGTCTTCCAATAATAGTAACGCATTTGTGACCGGATTAGGCGGACGACGAGATCGAACGGTGGAAGCTCGACGTGGAATCTCATGTTTCGACGATCCCCGTGTCCTCGCGCACGGGATTTGCCCAGCGGATTGAAGGACGCGAAAGCCATCGAAAGCAGCGGAGGAGAGTAAAGCGATTGAGAAACGATTTAGTTGACACATTCGAGGTCAGGAAGACGAGACTCACTAGCTACCTATGGCGGACCGAGAGGGAATGACGGAGCGCCCTGGTTTCGGGTTTCCGATTCCTTTGGGCAGTGGTTTTGACAGCGCCTCGCTTCGCGCTCGCGTCCGATACCTTCGGTCAGTAAATTACGCTATTTTCCCATTTGGAGTCCAGAAACTACAACTTTGTTTTATTTAATGGGACAAAAAATATAAACCCCTCACGGGGGGGGCGGTTCGTCATTTCCTCGCGGACCGAGCTTACTGAGGAACAAGCAATGGAGACAGGAGCGGTTCGAGGCGAGGTGACGGAGAAACCAAGAAAAGGGGTGCTCCATTGGCATGGTAACCAATGGTTACATATCCACGTATTCCTAGGCCAGATACAAATGTATTGAGTTATCAATGATGCCATAGTGAATCCAACAAATATACCGCAGTGTAGACTGTAGTTTATGTAGTGTCTATTTGCTGAAGGTGATGTACCTCCTTTGCTTGCCTTCTTTCTATTCGTACCCTGTAGACTATAGTGAATCCTCTCCATTCTCCAATTCACTCTCCATGCCTTTTCTCGAAATGATACTACAGTACCGTATCTCCACGGCGGCCCATGTTGCTGGCAGGCCTTCTCCTTCTGGGCCTCTGTGTCCCGCCCCACTCGCACAAAGCACCCACGCTTCGCCACACCCTATAGACAACGGGACGAAATCAGTATGAGCAAGACGAACAGGCCCGATGGGAGAGGGAGGGGTTGTGGGACGGAGATGAGCGAGAGAATGGAAGACGCGAGAGAGAGAGTTGAAGGAGCACAAAGCGCCAGTGGATGTATACCTGCAACACAGCAAAAGAGTGAGGTCCCAACCAAACAGGACCAGGAATGCGATACGTGTGCGAGCGAATCACAATCGCAGGTACTCATTCTGATTCTCATTTACAGCATGCACGCACCAGTGAGCTTCCGGCCGAGAGTGTGAAAGGCGAGCGAGCACTGGTGCGGCTTGCACTTGAGCGAGCAGCCAGACCAGCCGGATCAACGGGGTGTTTTGAGAGCATTGGCATTTGCAGCGATGATTCGCCACTTCGACCCCTCAGCTCAGAAGGTTGCGTTGCACACGGTGGGTGCATGACGACGGTGGCGCGGTGAGAGGTAACGGCACGTGACGGGCGGCAGGGAGGTGAGAGAAGCGTCATGCGCATCCGCGATAAAAACAGGGGGGAAGACAAGCATAGGAACGGAGACGACGCATTCGAGAACAGGGGGGATGTTAGGGAAAGAGGGGGGACAGGGGATTGAAGGAGAGGGAAGCGGGGAAGAGGTGCGCGCTTGTAGCTTTGCAAGAGATTCTGTGATTGCAAGGAGGAAACCTGAAAACAATTGTTTCCTCTCTCTTTAGCAGTATGTGTGTGTGCAATGAGAACAATCCACGGGCCCACAGATTTTCACGGACGGGAGAGGGGAAACGCATGGGAAATATTGCAAAAGAAGTGGGGGAAAGGGGGAAAGGAAAAAGGAAGGGGAGGGGAGGAGGAAGGAGGGGGGGGGGGAGGGGAGAGGGGAGGAACTGAAGGCGTGGTGTTTGTAGTGCAGAAACATTGTAAAACGTGGTACCTTAAACACGTGCTTCTGATGTTTAGCATTCTTTGTGCCAGTAGTATGTTGGAGCATGTAGAGCAACATTGTAACCCTGTTGTGAACTGCATGCACACGAGAGGAAGTGGGGCGGAGTGGAGGATAAAGGAGGTTCAGTGCTGAAGAGAGGGAGGATTTTGGGGTGGGGGAAGGAAAGAGAGGGAGTGGCTGTGGGAGGGAGAGAGAGAGGGGCTGTGGGAGGGAGAGAGAGAGGGGCTGTGGGAGGGAGAGAGAGAGGGGCTGTGGGAGGGAGAGAGAGAGGGGCTGTGGGAGGGAGAGAGAGAGGGGCTGTGGGAGGGAGAGAGAGAGGGGCTGTGGGAGGGAGAGAGAGAGGGGCTGTGGGAGGGAGAGAGAGAGGGGCTGTGGGAGGGAGAGAGAGAGGGGCTGTGGGAGGGAGAGAGAGAGGGGCTGTGGGAGGGAGAGAGAGAGGGGCTGTGGGAGGGAGAGAGAGAGGGGCTGTGGGAGGGAGAGAGAGAGGGGCTGTGGGAGGGAGAGAGGGAGGGGCTGTGGGAGGGAGAGAGAGAGGGGCTGTGGGAGGGAGAGAGAGAGGGGCTGTGGGAGGGAGATAGAGAGGGGCTGTGGGAGGGAGAGAGAGAGGGGCTGTGGGAGGGAGAGAGAGAGGGGCTGTGGGAGGGAGAGAGAGAGGGGCTGTGGGAGGGAGAGAGAGAGGGGCTGTGGGAGGGAGAGAGAGAGGAGGGCTGGCGGACGTAGTTGAGGAGAGAGGGAGGGCCAAAACCCCAGGTGCTCAATTCCACCTCAGCTATGATGCGTACCTGAGCGGAACACCCCAGATGCACAATCCCACCTCTGGGGATTCCACAACCACAGCACAGCGTGCCACAGAGCACAGCGTGCCACAGAGCACAGGCAGAGCATGCCAAACCTAAAACACAGTCACACCACCAGCACAGCATGCACGCACCAGTTAGCCTGCCGGTAGCTCTGCCGCGAGTCTGGAAGGCGAGCACGCGGTGCATGACGCTGGCGCGGCGTGTGAGGTAGCGTGACGGGCGCGTGACGGGCGGCAGGGAGGTGAACGCGCCGTTGATGGGCGCGTGATGGGCGCGTGATGGGCGCGTGACGGGCGCGTGACGGGCGCGTGAACGTGGCGTGGGCGCGAGAAGAGTTACGCGCACGAGGGGAGGAGGAAATGAACGGGGGATATTGCAAAAGCAGGGGGGGGAAGGAAGGGGATGGGAGGAGGGGAGGGGAGGAGGGGAGGGGGGCAGAGGGGAGGAAGAGGGGGGAAAGGAGAGGCCTTTCTAACGTGGAAAACAATTTCTAACATGGATTAGCATTCATGTGCCAGTGGTATGTGCCAGCAACATCGTAACCTAGTTGATTCACAGCGGGGATCTGATATTGCGCGTCTAAAACCAGCGAGAATCGCGCGTCGCTATAACGCTTTAACGGCCAGACCTCGGGAGTTGATGATTATAACGCTATAATCTTACGAATTCGTTCACGGGCAGCGTCAAGTCAGACGGGATCGTCCGACGACCAGCAGCGTGAGCGCTTTCTCGCTGCCATCGCCGCGCAAGTGGCTTCCACGTCGCACTCTTGTAACGAGTCCGCACCGACGTCAGCGTGTATCCCTGTAACGAGGATAGCCCATTATTGGAGCGGTGACTACGGCGCGAATCTGCATACTCGCGATGAGAGGAGATTAGCACCGACAAGGCATGGCGGGGCGCTTACGAAAAGCCTCTAATACCAGACCTTCCAAATCGTAACGATTTTGCTCTCATTAATATTCGCTACTAGTTCCTAATCTGCTACTAGATCAGGATCGCGCCGACATTAGTGACAGAAATCTCGCATTCACCATGGCGTCTCTGAAACGCGGCGCGTTCGTGGAAGAAAGGGCATTATTGCTTTACAATATGAAAATCCGAAATGATCATTAATCATACGGTAGCTCTACAAGAAAGTTCTAAATCTGCCAGAACGTTCTACAGCTTCTAGAAAGCATTACATCTACCACTAGAAACTTCCATAATTACTAGTCTTATATCTACTAGCAGTTCCATACAGTGTCTACTGACGTTCCTGTTTACTCATTGAGAACTAGATATTGATAGTCCACTAGATATTGAAATAAATAATTAGTCGTACTATTGTACTACCCATGCACTGTAGGTATGCATGGGGGGTTCCTCTTGGCCGCCAGGAGCAGAGCTCCCAACGTTACACCCAAGCACCACGGTGAGGTGGGAACCATCGCTTAGGACCCTGTTGGAGGGGGGGGGGAGACAGAACACAAAGGGACACTGGATACTGCCCAGGGGCAGGTGAGAATTAATATGTGACTCTGTTGGGGGGGAAGGCAGAACACAAGGGATACTGGGTACTGCCCAGGGGCAGGTGAAATTTACTATGTGACCCTGTTGAGGGGGGGGGAGACAGAACACAAAAGGATACTGGATACTGCCCAGGGGCAGTTGAAATCATTACGTGACCCTGTTGGGGGGGGGAGACAGAACACAAAAGGATACTGGATACTGCCCAGGGGCAGGTGAGGAGGAAGGGAGAGTTTTGAGAGTGAGTTTCGAGACGTCTCTCGAAACTCACAAGAGAAGAGAGTGTTCCTACTCTGCTTCGCTGCACCTGTGTTCCCTGCAATCTGCTTCACCCCCTACCCTGTTTCGCTGCACCTGCGTTCCCTGCAATCTGCTTCAACCCCTACCCTTCTTCGCTGCAACCTGTGTTCCCTGCAATCTGCTTCAACCCCTACCCTGCTCCGCTGCAACCTGTGTTCCCTGCAATCTGCTTCACCCCTGAGCAAACGAACTCCTCTGGAGTAGCACACGGGGAGGGTGGCCAGTCGTCTTCACTGCTTCTCTTCTGCTGACACCGCTGGTGCCACTGCTTGTATTCCCTTCTGCTGCCACTGCGGGCCTCTCTTCTGCTCCCACTGCTGCTGCCACCGCTGCTGTCACTGCTGGCCTTCTCTTGTGCTCGCCGTCCCATCACTTCACAGCACCAGCAGCAGCACGCGGGAGGGAGGTAGGAGCGAGGAAGGTAGCAGCTGCTTCATCCCCTTCACAGCTGCTTCATCCCCTTCACAGCTGCTTCATCCCCTTCACAGCTGCTTCATCCCCTTCACAGCTTTTTCATCCCCTTCACAGCTGCTTCATCCCCTTCACAGCTGCTTCATCCCCTTCACAGCTGCTTCATCCCCTTCAAAGCTCCTTGGCAGCAAAAGGTAGCTAAAGGTAGGTACAGCTCGCTGGCCCGCTCATGGCAGTCCACCCGTCTGCTCTGCCCGCCTGTACCACCCGTCTGCTCTGCTCGCTGTAGCACCCGTCTGCTCAGCCCGCCTGTACCACCCGTCTGCTCTGCTCGCCTGAAGCAGCCGTCTTGTCTGCTGCTCCCTAGCCTCTTCGTCCTTCTGTGAAATGGGAGGAGAATGAATCAAATACGATGAGTGCAGTGCAAGGCACCGATTGCATGCACTGCCAGGAAGGAACTCAGAGCAAATGCAAAACCAAGGTAACGACATTCGAACAAACAGAACAACTCAAGTGAAATAGAGAATCACCGTCGGCAGTGTATAGTTATCCACCACCGTGCTCCTTTGCTCTGTGCCCTTCAATGCAGCACCACTCCAGTGCAGCACCATTCCCCCTCCACTGCAGCACCACTCCCCCTCCACTGCAGCACCACTCCCCCTCCAGTGCAGCACCATTCCCCCTCCAGTGCAGCACCACTCCCCCTCCAGTGCAGCACCACTCCCCCTCCAGTGCAGCACCACTCCCCCTCCAGTGCAGCACCACTCCCCCTCCAGTGCAGCACCACTCCCCCTCCAGTGCAGCACCACTCCCCCTCCAGTGCAGCACCACTCCCCCTCCAGTGCAGCACCACTCCCCCCCCAGTGCAGCACCACTCCCCCTCCACTGCAGCACCACTCCCCTCCAGTGCAGCACCACTCCCCGTCCACTGCAGCACCACTCCCCCTCCAGTGCAGCACCACTCCCCCTCCAGTGCAGCACCACTCCCCCTCCACTGCAGCACCACTCCCCCTCCACTGCAGCACCACTCCCCCTCCACTGCAGCACCACTCCCCCTCCACTGCAGCACCACTCCCCCTCCACTGCAGCACCACTCCCCCTCCACTGCAGCACCACTCCCCCTCCACTGCAGCACCACTCCCCCTCCACTGCAGCACCACTCCCCCTCCACTGCAGCACCACTCCCCCTCCAGTGCAGCACCACTCCCCGTCCACTGCAGCACCACTCCCCCTCCAGTGCAGCACCACTCCCCCTCCAGTGCAGCACCACTCCCCCTCCAGTGCAGCACCACTCCCCATCCACTGCTGCACCACTCCCCCTCCACTGCAGCACCACTCCCCGTCCACTGCAGCACCACTCCCCCTCCAGTGCAGCACCACTCCCCCTCCACTGCAGCACCACTCCCCCTCCACTGCAGCACCACTCCCCCTCCACTGCAGCACCGCTCCCCCTCCAGTGCAGCACCACTCCCCCTCCACTGCAGCACCACTCCCCCTCCACTGCAGCACCACTCCCCCTCCAGTGCAGCACCACTCCCCCTACAGTGCAGCACCACTCCCCCTCCAGTGCAGCACCACTCCACCGCTTCACAGCAGCAGCAGAACATGCGAGGGAGGTAGGAGCGAGGCAGCACAAGGCAGAAAAAGGTAGGTACAGCTCTAGCCCTTCTCTTCTCCTCTGCTCTATTCACCTGCTCATCACCTCTCCTGCAGTGGCCTCCTCTCCCAGCAGGTGCCAGTCGTCCCCTCTGCTCCTCTAGAGTAGCACACGGGAGGGAGGCAGCATCATTTTCTCCCACTGCTGCTCCTCTGCTCCTCTGCAGTAGCACACGGGAAGGGTGGTCTTCTCTTCTGCTGACTCTGCTGCCACTGCTGCTACCACTGTTTGCATTCCCTTCTGCTGCCACTGCGGCCCTCTCTTCTGCTCCCACTGCTGCTGCCACCGCTGGTTCCTCTGCGGGCCTCACTTGTGCTCGCTGTCCCATCACTTTACAGCACCAGCAGCAGCACACAGGAGGGAGGTAGGAGCGAGGAAGGTAGCAGCTTCCGTCCCATCACTTCCCTCCATCACCTCCTTTGCCTCTCCTCTGCTGCTCGTCTCCTCTGCTACTCCGTCTCCTCTGCTGCTGTGAAATGGGAGGAGGCAGGTACAGAGCTGATGAGTGCATAGCCCCATTCACACCCCAACTTAAGAAAGGACATAATCTCACATGACAAGAAAGAAAGGACTTTGAGCATGAATAAGGCAAGAAAGAAAGGACTTGCGAAACGAATAAGGCAGCAACCATGCATCTGAACGAACAGAAGAGATAAAGCAAGAAAGAGGATCACCATTGGCAGCAGATATTTACTCCACCACTGTGCTTCTTCGCTCCATCGCTCATTTGCTCCTTGTCTCCTCTTCTGCTGCTCCTCAGCTGAGCCAACTCCTCTGCTTCTCCACCTCCTCTGCTCCACCACTACTTCATCTCCTCCTCTGATGCATCTCCTTATCTCCTCTGCTCTGCTCCTCCTCCTCTGATGCATCTCCTTCTCTGATGCACCTCCTTCTCTGATGCACCTCCTTCTCTGATGCATCTCCTCTGATGCATCTCCTTCGCTCCTCTTCCTCTGATGCATGTCCTCTGCTCCTCCTCCTCTGATGTATCTCGTCTGCTCCTCCTCCTCTGATGCAGCTCATGGGCGGGAGGTCAGCTGGCCTTCTCTTCTGCTCCCAGCAGCTGCCAGTCGTTTCCTCTGCTCTTCTGCAGTAGCACGCGGAAGTGAGGCAGCATCATCTGCTCCCACTGCTGCTCCCACTGCTGCTTCCACTGCTGCTGCCACTTCTTGCATACCATTCTGCTCCCACTGCTGAAGCCACCGCTGGTGTCACCAATGCACTTCTCTTCTGCTGCTGCCTCTCCTTTTGTTGCTGGCCATCTCCTTTGCTGCTCCACTCCCCTTCACCTCTCATCCAATCACATCACACCAGAGCAGCAGCACACAGGAGGGAGGTAGGAGCGAGGGAGGTAGCACCTGTCGCTGCTGCAGGTTTCTGGTATTGCTGCTGGTCCCACTGCTGCCGCTGCTGCTGCCAACACAGCAGCACCTCCCCACCTCCAAAGCAGCAGTTTCGTAGCACTTGCAGCAGCTCAAGGAGAGAGGTAGGCCGTGAACATTAGCCCCGTAAAATCTTATTCTACGTACTACGTCATCAGATTTAATAGTTAACATCTCTTGTAATGTGAAAGCAGTTCCAAAAGCTGGAAATGTCGAGCATTCCATCTCCCTTGGTCTTTGACCATCACAATGGGACTTACCACAAAGAAGATGCTGTGTAACTAAGCTATCGGCCGAAATAGCTTAGTTACACAGCAACCTCATGGTGGTAAGTCTCATTTGTGAGAAGAAAAGGTAGAAGAGAAGTTGATGGATTGATTGAAAGGATGGGGGGTTTACATAGGAGATGAGTTGGAAACTAGCCTAGGTGAACATTATTGGACCCCAACCAAGGAGTTGGGTTGGGAGATTATTGGTGGGGTAAAATAATGTTGGCCAAGTTGGAGTTGGGCCAACATTATTGGAGGGGACCAATAATTCTACCCATCCCAACCCTTGGGGTCCAATAATTGGACCAAGGTTGGGTTTCCAACCTACAAATTGGGTAACCCCTGCTTGTACACCCAAACTAAGTTTGGGTGCTTATCTCTAGCCTATCCTATAGCATATATGCAGGTTACAAGAGAGGAGATATTCTAACACAACCCCTTAACCTGCAGAGATGCGGAAAGGCTGGAGAGCAGCAACCCCTGAATCAAGGCGCTCCTGGAGGAGCGAGGCCAATGAGGCGGAGGAGAGCAGAGTGCGCGGGGCGAAGAAGTGCTTTGGTGAAGATATCCGCCAAATTGGCTTCAGTGGCGATCTTGCGGACGGCGATAAGATTCTGTCGGACGAGGTCGCGGATGAAGAAATAACGGAGCTCGATATGCTTGGAGCGACCATGAAAGACTGGATCCTGGGTGAGGTGGATGGTGCTGGCGTTGTCACACCAGAGCGTGGGACAGCGCTGGGGGGCACCAAGCTCTGCCAGAAGAAAGCAGAGCCAGCGGGACTCTTGAGCGGCCATGGTGCCCGCATAGAGCTCAGCTTCGCAGGAAGAGAGAGCGATGGCGGAGGAGCGGGTGGAACGCCAGCTGATAAGTCCGCTGCCGAGGGTAAAGCCATAGCCTTGGGAGGAGCGGCGGTCTGGCTGATTGTCTGCCCAGGAGGAGTCACTGAAGCCCGAGAGAAGGGGAGGGGAGGATCCACCCAGTGTGAGAGCGTGATCCTTGGTGCCGCAGAGATAGCGAAGGACCCGCTTGGCGGCAGCCCAGTGTTCCTCAGTGTGACGGCCAGAGCCGACGAACCGAGCAAGGACGCTGACAGGGTAGGCGAGGTCGGGGCGGGTGCACATCATCGCGTACATCAGCGACCCAACGAGCTCGGCGTAGGGCCGGGAGGAGGAGGAGGGGGAGGTGGGTGGCGCAAGTTGGTGACCGAAGGGGAGGGGGGTGGAGACTGGTTTGGCCTGCGCCATCTCAAACCTCTCCAGGACCTGGCCGATGTAGTGGGACTGGGAGAGAGTGATGGTGCGGGCGGATCGATCACGGGTGATAGCCATGCCGAGGTAGTTCTGGAGGGGACCAAGGTCCTTGCACTTGAGTCGTTCCTGAAGTGACCGCTTCATCTGGTCCATGTCGGCCCTGGAATCCGCCAGCAGGATCATGTCGTCAACGTAGACCGAGATGAAAAAGCGACTGGGGGAAGAGCGGATGAAGAGGCTGGCGTCGGAGTGGGAGGGGGAGAAGCCAAGGGACTGGAGAGTAGCAGATAGCTTCGCATGCCATTCTCGTGGTGCCTGCTTCAGGCCATAGACCGGTCGCTTCAGCTGCCAGACGGTGTTGTCGGGGAACTTAGCATGGAACCCGGGAGGTCGGCGGAGAAAGATGCGTTCGTGCAGTTCACCTTGCAGGAAAGCGTTGGAGACGTCCATGGAGTCAATCTCCATGTCGTCTCTTGCACCGATGTCAAGAAGGGTGCGTAGGGTGGCCTGCTTGACGGTGGGGGCGAACGTGAACCAGTAGTCCTCAGCCCAGGTCTGGGTGAACCCCTTGGCAACGTAGCGGGCTTTGTAGACTGGTTCTTCTCCCGGCAGCTGCTTGACTCGAAAGATCCACTTGCCCTCAACCAGGTTGGCGTCAGGAGGGAGGGGAACGTCAATGAAGGAGTTATTGTGGATGAATGCTTCACATTCCTGAAAGATGGCGGCTATCCACTTATCGGCGTCAGGGCAGGTGATAGCCTCTTGGAAAGTGGAGGGGACGAAGATGGTGGGAGCGGGGATCGCGCTAAGGAGTAGGGCGCCGAGGAGGTCAGGGGAAAGTACTGTGAGAGAGGGAGTGTGGCGCCGGACCATGGTGAACTCCTCATGGGAGTCCTCCAGTTGGTTGAGGGAGGGAGGAGACGGTGCACCAAGGATGGGGTCAAGGGAGCGGGTGTGCATGCGAGGGAGGAGGAAGGGTGAGGAGCGGGCAATTGCCCTGCGCCGCTGCTGCTGCTGGTGCTGCTGGAACCCCTGCTGCTGCTGCGGCTGCTGCCCCTGCTGCTGCTGCTGCGGCTGCTGTTGCTGTTGTGGCTGCTGCTGCTGCTGCTGCTGCTGCTGCTGCTGCTGCTGCTGCTGCTGCTGTTGCTGCTGCTGCTGCTGCTGCTGCTGCTGCTGCTGCTGCTGCTGCTGCTGCTGCTGCCGCCGCTGCTGCTGCTGCTGCTGCTGCTGCTGCTGTTGCTGCTGCTGCTGCTGCTGCTGCTGCTGCTGTGCTGCTGCTGCTGTGATGGATGAGGAGGGGAGTGGGAAGGGGAGGGGGAGGGGGAGCCGTGGAGTGTGCGGGGGAGGCAGGAGCAGTGGGATCGTAGACGTCGGCGGATGAAGGTGGCGGAAGCGGGGTGGGGAGGGGTGGGAGAAGAGGTGCCGGAGGGAGGAGGGGAGGACGGTGTCGGCCCAAGCGAGAGGACGTGCGGGAGGAGGGAGGGGGTCTGGTGGTGGGAGGAGTAGTACGGGGTGGTCTCATCGAACACAACGTCAATGCTGCGGATGAGGCGACCAGAGGGAGGGTGAAGGAAGAGGTAACCAGGCGAGTCGCGGTTGTGTCCGAGGTAGACACACTCGAGGGCGCGAGGAGCGAGCTTGCCTTGGGTGCGGTCGGGTGGAGGAATAAGCACATATGCCTTGCAACCCCAGACACGGAGACCGGCAGCGTCAGGTTTGGTTCCTGACCAGAGCTCCGTGGGGGTAGCGGCAGTGTGTTGGGGATGGGAGTGAAGGTTGAGGAGGAGGGCAGCATGGAGGAGGGCATAGCCCCAGAGAGAGGGAGGGGTGGAGGCGTGAGCAAGGAGACAGCGGGCGATCTTAGTGATTTCGCGAATGCGGCTTTCTGCAACGCCGTTCTGCTGTGGGGAGTGGGGAAGAGTGTGGGTCTGTTGGATGCCATGGGTGGCGCAGTAGTGAGAGAGAGTGCGGTTGAGGAATTCGCCTCCCCCATCAGAGTGGAGGCGGCCGATGGGACGTTTGAAGTGGGTGCGGCATTGCTCTGCCCAGTTAATGATAATGGTCGGCGCCTGGTCTTTGGTGTGGAGGAGGAAAATGGAGGAGTAGCGGCTGTGATCGTCAACAAGAACCAACATGTAGCGATGGCCTTGGCGTGAGCGGGTGGGAGAGGGCCCCCAGAGGTCCATATGGACAAGGTCAATGGGTGCAGGAGCGAAGGATGGGTGGCTGTGGTGAGGAGATTGTTTGAGTTTGCCGTGGATGCAGGAGGGGCATGGGGGGGCTGGGGAGGAGGGAAGGGGAGGAAGAGTTGGAGGGAGGCTGTGGAGAAGTCGTGAGGTGACGGCAGTGCGGAGAGCGGCAAAATTCGGATGGCCGAGTCGGTGATGTAGGAGAACAGCGGGGTGGGAGAGATGGTCGGAGGTGGAGGGGATTGGAATGAGTGAGGAAGGGATGGAGGAGTGGGGAGGAGACGGAGTGGGAGGAGAGGGAGGGAGATGGGGAGGGCTGGTGGAGGTACCCGCACGAGTGGTAACATGGCAGGAGGATGGCCACGGAGTGCGGAGAGTGTAGAGGCGAGTGCGAGGGCAGAGGGGTATGCGGAGGAGGAAGCGGCCGGAGGCAGTGTGGTAAAGGTCACAGTAGGTGGCATTACCAGGATAGACGGCAGTGATACCTGCACCTTGGATTTCACGGTGGGAGAGGAGGTTGTTTCGGAGAGTGGGGATGTGGAGACCAGTTACCTTGCCAGAGGGGAAGAGTGAACAGGGGAGAGTGGAGAGGTGTGTGCATGGGATGGTGAAGCTGCTGTCAGCACCGTGAACTTGAGTGGGAGGGGAGAGGGGTGTGAGTGTACCAGCGTCTTTGAGGGCGGTCTCAGTGGCCCCACTGTCAAGGACAAAGTCCAGAGTGGGTGAGGAGGAGGAGGAAGACACTGAGTACTGGAAAGTGGTTTCATTAATGTTGGATGGGTACATGGAAGGAAGAGAGGGCGAAATAGCTATGTTGCCAAGGAAGCTCTCGTGAGTGAGAGGGGTGGCAGTGCTACTGGGGGGGGGTGGGGCACCCCAAAGGGGGGCAGGTGAGGCTTGAGCGGCCATGGCTGCTGTGCCAAAGTTCAACTGCTGCTGCGGCCAGGGAGGAGGGCTGGGTCCCCACTGTGGCTGGGGTCCTGACCCCCATGGGTGCTGCGGCGGCTGTGGCTGCTGCTGCTGCTGCTGGAGGTGCTGCTGCTGGAGGTTGAGGAAGGGTGTGGGGGGAGCAAGGAGGCGGAGGTGGGCTGGGAGGTAGGCTGGATTGGTTTGGATATCGGTGGGGGAGGGGCGTGGGGAGATGTTGCCCCACTTTGGAGGAGTGCCAACGTTACCCCGCGCGTACCAGGCATCGTCGAGAGCCTTGAAGCACGTGCCAGGGGGATGGTTGGTCTGTCCGCAGGGAGTTCCAGCCCGAGGACCATAGCGGCGGACATAGGTGCAGGGAGGAAGCGTGCCAGGGCGACTCCCGCGACTTGCAGTGGGTCCACCCGAAGTGGTGGTGCCGTGCTCATCCCCAGTGGTGCCACCACGGTTGTTGCTGCTTCCCGAACCACCACCTCCCTTGCCCCCACCTCCTCCTTTGCCGTTGTTCTTTCCCTGCTTGCGAGGCTGGGTAGCGTTGAGGGAGGAGGAGGTGGGTTGGGAGGAGGCGAGGTTGACGATGGGTGTACGGAGTTTAACTTCGGTGTCGATAATCCACTGTTCAACGGAGGCGAGACCGGCCATGGGATTGGCTTCGGTAAAGGCGTGGAGGCGGGATTCGTAGTCTGGGGTGAGGTTAAAGAGGAGGCGGTGGATTTGAAGAGGTTCGGAGAGGCCGGCCTGGCGGGCTTCGAGGCGATCAGCTACCTCGCGCATGCGTCCGACGTAGTCGACTGCTCCGTCACAGGTGGCGAGGGTGATGGAAAAATACTCTTGGAAGAGGATGCCGACGGAGCTGATGTCGCGGCGCTCAAACATGGCATGGAGTTCTGCCCAGATGACCGAGGCACGGAGTTCCCGAGCCTGGAAGCGACGCATGAGGGAGTCAGGGAGAGCTCCAAGGAGAACGGTGCAGGCACGGGTGTCAGCAGCTGTCCAGGCGATGAGTCTGGGGGTGAAGTCAGCCATGTCGACCTTGTATTTGGCGACGACCTCGAGGTGAGCGTCGCGACCAGCAACCGCCTGATCATAGGCCTCAACTGCAGCATCGTACTCGGCTTTGCGGATGAGGTATTCACGGCGGCGTAGGATAAAATCAGTGTCCGCAGTGGCTTGGTCGGGGGTGATCTGAAGATCGGGTTCACGAGGAGGGTCGCCAGGAGTAGGAGGAAGAGGAGGAGTCTCGCCGGGGTGGGGAGGTTCGGTGGGGGGGAGGGCATGGGGGCGGCGGAGGATGACGTCAAGGACACGGTAGGGGGGAACCCATGCGTCGGAGAGAACGCGTCGGATGCTGCCGACGAAGGAGTGCCAGTTGACTGCGGACTTGTCCGCGGCGAGCTGGAGCTTATCAATGGAGGACGTATCAATAGGGGGAGGAAGTGGGGAGGGGGAGGGTGTAGGAGTAGCCATGATGGACGGCAGCAGGTGGACCCGCAGTGGTCACGGAGGAGCAACGGCGACGAGGCCGCGGGGGGGGGGGAGGGGAGTGGCGCGGGCAGCAGCGGCTGGCGAGGCCGCGGCGGTTGGCGCGGAGGCGGCGTTGAAGCCGCGGAGGGGCGCGGACGGCGGCGGCTGGCGAGGCCGCGGCGGTGCTGGCGGGGAGGCGGCGTCGAGGCCGCTGGAGGGGAAGGCGCGGGCGGCGGCTGGCGAGGCCGCGGCGGCTGGCGCGGAGGCGGCGACGAGGCCGCGGAGAGGCGCGGGCGGCGGCTGGCGAGGCCGCGGCGGCTGGCGCGGAGGCGGCGACGAGGCCGCGGAGAGGCGCGGGCGGCGGCTGGCGAGGCCGCGGCGGCTGGCGCGGAGGCGGCGATGAGGCCGCGGAGAGGCGCGGGCGGCGGCGGTTGGCGAGGCCGCGGCGGCTGGCGCGGAGGCGGCGACGAGGCCGCGGAGAGGCGCGGGCGGCGGCGGTTGGCGAAGCCGCGGCAGTGCCGGCGCGGAAGCGGCGACGGGGTCGCGGGAGGGAGCGGCGCGAGCGGCGGCGGCTGGCGAAGCCGCGGCAGTGCAGGCGCGGAGGCGGCGACGAGGCCGCGAGAGGGAGCGGCAGAGCTGCGGCGCTGGCGAGGCCGCGGCAGTGCAGGCGCGGAAGCGGCGACAAGGCCGCGGGAGGGAGCGGCGCGAGCGGCGGCGGCTGGCGAAGCCGCGGGAATGCTGGCGCGGAAGTGACGACGGGGTCGCGGGAGGGAGCGGCGCGAGCGGCGGCGGCTGGCGAAGCCGCGGCAGTGCAGGCGCGGAGGCGGCGTCGAGGCCGCGGAAGGGAGCGGCGGCGGCGACGGCGGCCGCAGTGGCGTTGGCGCGGAGGCGGCGTCGAGGCCGCGGGATGGGGCGGGCGGTGGCGGTCGGCGGGACCGCGACAAGGCGAGCGCGGAAGCGGCGGTGGGGCCGCGAGCCGTGATGGCGTGGGAGGCCGTGGGGCTGCGAGGAAGGGAGTGCTTGAGGAGAGGGGGAGGGTGGCGAGATAGCCGCGGAGAAATGAGAGAGGAGGCCGGGGGTTGCGGCGGCCTTTGAAAAAAAACTAGGAGCGTAGGCCTAGGATTTTTAAGAGCTCTATACCATGTGAGAAGAAAAGGTAGAAGAGAAGTTGATGGATTGATTGAAAGGATGGGGGGTTTACATAGGAGATGAGTTGGAAACTAGCCTAGGTGAACATTATTGGACCCCAACCAAGGAGTTGGGTTGGGAGATTATTGGTGGGGTCCAATAATGTTGGCCAAGTTGGAGTTGGGCCAACATTATTGGAGGGGACCAATAATTCTACCCATCCCAACCCTTGGGGTCCAATAATTGGACCAAGGTTGGGTTTCCAACCTACAAATTGGGTAACCCCTGCTTGTACACCCAAACTAAGTTTGGGTGCTTATCTCTAGCCTATCCTATAGCATATATGCAGGTTACAAGAGAGGAGATATTCTAACATCATTTTGGTGGTCTAAGGTTTGAGGAGATGGAATGCTGGGCATTACAAGCTTATGGAGTTGCTTACGCATAAAAAGAGAGGTTAACCGTAAAAGCTGATGACGTACCAGGTAGAATCTGACTTTACGAGGTGAAGTGTTGTAGCCGGCTCAAGTGTTAGTGTCCGCACATGAAGTCTTGACGTCGGCACTTGGTGCTTAGCGTCGGCGCTTCAACTCTCCACAAGAGGTCGCCAACAGGTCTGCTCCTCTGCTCTATTCACCTGCTCATCACCTCTCCTGCAGTGGCCTCCTCTCCCAGCAAGTGACAGTCGTCCCCTCTGCTCCTTTCCCAGCCCATTCTCACTGGCAGTGGCAATGGCCGGGAATCCTCCTTCGCCTCCGCTGCTCCTCTCCCAGCAGGTGCCAGTCGTCCCCTCTGCTCCTCTAGAGTAGCACACGGGAGGGAGGCAGCATCATTTTCTCCCGTTGCTGCTCCTCTGCAGTAGCACACAAGAAGAGTGGCCTTCTCTTCTGCTGACTCTGCAGCTGCCACTGCTGCTACCACTGCTTGCATTCCCTTCTGCGCCTGCTGGAACCAGTATTGTCACTGCAGGCCTCTCTTCTGCTCGCACTGCTGCTGCCACCACTGGTCCCACTGCGGGCCTCTCTTCTGCTCGCTGTCCCATCACTTCACAGCACCAGCAGCAGCACGCGGGAGGGAGGTAGGAGCGAGGAAGGTAGCAGCTGAGGAGCAGCTGAGGAGCACCACCGCTGGTGTCACTTCTGTTCTCTTCTGTTGCCAGCCACTGCTGCTGTCAGCTGTAGTGTCATTGCGGACCTCTCTCCTTCTCCCACCGCTGCTGCCACCGCTGGTGTCACTACCTGCATCCCCTTCTGCTGCCACTGCTGCTGCCACCGGGTAATGTCACTGCTAGCCAACGCAGCATTAGAGCTGCTTGTTGTCGTCCCATCACTCCACATCACAGCACCACCAGCAGCACGCAGGAGGCAGTAACAGCTCGCAGATTGCTGGTGTGGATTTCGTGTCCCCTCCGTGCCTTCCCTGCTGCAGCTCAGGGCAGTCCAGCCGTCTCCTTCCTCTTGGGATCCCTTCCAGCCGTCTCCTCAGCTCCCCTGCTCCACTGCTGCAGCTCACAGGATTGACTGGCGTTGACTGGCTTTGACTGGCATTGACTGGCCTCCCAACACCCACCAGCAGCGCCAGAAAACTGAAGGGCATTCTTCTCGTGTTGCCACTTCTTCTGCACCTGCCGCTGCCGCTCATACTGCTGCTTCTGCCACTGCCACTCTCCTCCTGCTGCCACTGCTGCCGCTGTCGATGCTGCTCCAGCTGCTGCTGGTCCTCCCACCCACAGATTAACGCCCTGCACAGTGTCACAGAGTCACAATCGCACAGGGAAGATGAACCAGTGAGTCGACAGAGCAGATTGACAGAGTGAAGAATATCGAATGCAAGGAGGATAAAAGACAGCGGAAAAGCGACGAAGAACACGAAAGCAAATGAAACAAGGCAGAAAAAAACTCGAATGAGGAGAGAGAAGGGAGAGGGGGGATTAGCAAGAAACGGGGGTGTTCTGTCATGGCTCCAATCACTTACTTGCTTATCCAGTCGCTGCTGCTCCAACTGCCCCCAACGCAGTTGGTGCTATCCAGTCGCTGCAGCTCCGTCTTCCCACCCACATATAGCGTTGCCTGCCTGCGCAGAGATCAGAGAGTCGCAGGGAAGGATAAACAGAGGAGAGGAGTCGACATGGTGGATTGACAGAGTGAAGAAGACCGAATGCAATGAAGAAAAAGACAGCGGAAAAACGACAAAGAAAACAAATGGCTTAAGAACACCGAAGTGAGTTGAAACGAGGAGGAAGACGGGAAGGCGAGGAGAAGAAAGGAAAAGCTCCAGTTACTTGCTTGCTTCTCAACTCGCCACTTCTCCGGTTGCGGCTTTTCCACTCGTAGCTTCTCCAGTCTCTGCTGCTGCTCCGTCTTCCCACCCACGCCATAGCGTTGCCTCCCTGCATCACTTCTGCGGGCCTCTCTTCTGCTGCTCCTCAGCTGCCCCTCAACTCCTCTGCTTCTCCACCTCCTCTGCTCCACCTATGCTCCATCTCCTCCTCTCCTCTGCTCCACCACTACTTCATCTCCTTCTCCTCTGATGCATCTCCTTCTCCCCTCTGCTCTGCTCCTCCTCCTCTGATACACCTCCTTCTCTGATGCAACTCCTTCTCTGATGCATCTCCTTCGCCCCTCCTCCTCTGATGCATGTCCTCTGCTCCTCTGAATGCCTTAAACACACTGGAGCGAGTGGGAAACAAGAATGAGGAGGAAGATGGGAGGGCGAGGAGAAGAAAGGAAGAGCTCCAGTTACTTACTTGCTTCTCAAGTCGCCGCATCTGCTGTTGTTGCTTTTCCACTCGCCGCTTCTCCACTCGCTGCTGCCACTGCTCTCCTCCCCACGGCCAGCACCAGCGCCAGGAGGGTTTCAGCAGCTCTTCTCTTGCTGCTCTTCTTTCTGCTCTCCTCTCCTCCCCACAGCCAGAGCAGTAGGTGCTATCCAGTCGCTGCTGCTCCGTCTTCCCATTCTACTCCTTAACAATCCCAGTCACTGCATAGCGATCAAAGAGAGAAGGTTGATCAGTATTTAGCTGATTAAGTTGAAAGTGTGATTTGACACCGTTGAATGACAGAGTGAAAAAGAACGAATGCAAGGAGGAAGAAAGACAGCGGAAACTCAATGAGGAACATGAAAGCCAGAGAAATAACGAAGGAAGAGGAAAACGCAAATGAGGAGGGAGGGAGCGGGAGGAAAAGAAACGAATGGCGGTCCTTTGTCACGGCTAGATGTACTTACTTTCTTCTCCAGTCACTGCTGCTCCAGTTGCTGCCGCTCCAGTTGCCTCCACCGCAGCAGCACCGCTCCAGCTGATGCTCCGCCTCCCCAGCCACGCGTCAGCGCCCCTGCACAAGGAACAGAGAGATGCAACGCCCACTACAGAAAAGGTTAGGTGCTGGTAGAGGGTACAAGCACAGTAAAACGACGAAGACAGCAGGAAATTGAACAATACGAAGAGCAAAACGATGAAGCCAACAGGAAATGGCGGGAGGAGGAGGAGGAGGAGGAGGAGGAGGGGGGAAGGGATGAGGAGGCGGAGGAGGGAGGAAGCAGGAAGAAGAAGAGGAGGAATGAATGGAGGAGGAGGGAGGAAGCAGGAAGAAGAGGAGGAGGCGGGAGGGCCGTTACTGGCGAGGCTACACCCACAAGCCACAGACCCAAAGGGTTGCCCGGATGCACTTACACTGAGGGCATTTACCCCGAGTTAACCGGATACACAAACGCTGGGGGATTTACCCCGTTGTCACGAAGTACTGAGGAGTTTGCCCGGATGCACTTACGCTGCGGGCTTTGAAGTACCCAAGGGTTAACCGGATGCACTTACACTGGGGCCGTTGCCCGACGTACCCAAGGGAGGGGGGGTGTTTACCACAGTAGAAGTTTTGGGAGAATACCGGCAGTGGGGGGGATGGTCTGTGACCCGTTAGGTATCGCCTCAACCAGCAACGACCGAGGAGGAGGAGGAGGCGGAGGAGGAGGAGAGGCGGGAGGAGAAGGAGATGGAGAAGGAGAAGGAGAAGGGGGAGGAGAATGAGAAGGAGCAGGAGGGGGAGAAGGAGAATGAGAAGGAAGGAGGAGGAGGAGGAGGAGGAGGAGGAGGAGGAGGAGGAGGAGGAGGAGGAGGAGGAGGAGGAGGAATGGGAGACGGGGAACGGGTCATGAGAAATCGAGGAAGAGGAGGGCCAGAGGGAACTTAGCTGCTTGTTGACAGGTGTTGGAGAAGAGAAGAGCAGCACTGCCTCCAACACAGAAGCACCGCCTCCAACACACAGCACCACCTCCCACACAGCAGCACCGTCTCCTACACAGCAGCAGCACCTCCAACACAGCAGCACACAGCAGCACCACTCCATCGCAGCAGCACCACACCACCTCCAACGCGACACCAACGCCAATTCGCCATCTCCTCTCGGCAACAGCATGACCGCAGCAGCACTTGTCCCGCTCCAGCTCTTGGCGAGAGGCAGTTCACGGCCCTCCCGTTCCAGCTGCAACGAGGTAGCAGCACCACTCCAGTGCTGTCAGCCACGGGATGCACGCCAGTCAGCCACGGGATGCACGCCAGTCAGCCATCTCCTCTCGCCAGCAACGCCAGTCAGCCATCTCCTCTCGCCAGCAACGCCAGCAAGCATCTTCTTGGCAAGAGACATCGCTCCTGCTCCAGTTCACTGCAGCATCGCTCCTGCACGGACAGAGACATCAATTCGCAACATGTGAGTTATAAGACCGTCAGATTGAACGGAAACATAACGCGATCGTCAGATTGAACGGAAACGAAACGCGATCGTCAGAAGACTGAGCGGAATGTCCAGATTGAACGGAAACGAGACAAGAGCATCAAGAGAGCAGCAAAAGAGCAACTGGAGGCACTCCTCTTCAATAAATTGTTTCCTGAGATCAAGCATCTGGGCTTTGGACGTATTCGCGTCGTCCAATCCACGAAGCTGCTCCTCCTCCGTCAAGATAGTGGCACTTCTCCCGCTCCAGCTCTTGGCGAGAGGCAGTTCACGGCCTCCTGTTGGCGCAGCAGCAGCACCGTTCCAGCTCCAACGAGGTAGCAGCACGGCTCCACCTCCAACGCCACACCAACGCCAGTCAGTCATCTCATCTCGCCTAGGATGCACAGGCGCAGGCGCAGCAGCACCGCGCCAGGAGCAGCGCACCAGGAAACCAGCTCCCGCTTCTGCACGAGACTTCATGATAGGAATGGAACGGAAACGGAAAGTACGCCAGACTGAATGAAGCAAAACGCGATTGCCAAAAAACCAGAAAATAGCGACTGAAAATACCCTAAAAACACGTTGCCTAAAAACAAGCGTTCGGAGTTTGGATGGACGAAAGCTTACCACAACCAGGAAGCGGCGCGAACGTCTACGCATTCGCGGCCACGAAAACGGCGCCTTCGTTAGCTCTCGCATCGGCGAAATTTACAAGGCCCGCATTTTCGCAGGGACATGACGAGCGTCGCACGGTCGTCGCGGGCTCCTCCGCCGTCGCTCACGACGAAGCTCCTTTCCACCGTATTGAGAGCATCTCCCGACGCTCCTCCGCCTCCGTCGTCCCACCATCGCGAGCGTCGACGGCCTCGCGAGCTCTTCCGGTTCGACCTAGAGAAGCGGAGGCGACGAGCTTGACGAAAAATGCTACTCTGTCAGCATTTCGCGAGCTTGGTCAGAGCATCCGAGGAGCATCCGCGGCGACGAAGAGCGTCCACCGTCGACATCTCTTCCATGATGCATTTGCGAGCCTTCGCGAGCGTCGACGCATTCACGAGCTCTACCGTCGCCTCTTCACGAAGCTGCTCCTCCGCAGGAGCCTTATTCGTCACGTGATCATCTTCGTTCACGTCGCAAGTGTTTACGTCGGACGTCGGCGTACTAGTAGCGTCGGTTGAAAGCGGTGTTCAGACGTCAGATGTCTTCGCGTGTCTACGTCGGACGTCAGAGTCGGACCGTATTAGTTGTTGAGAGCGTAGTCATCAGCGATCGACATCAGCGTCGCGTCGCGTCTTCGGAGGAGATAACGAATCGTTGTTGGACCATGCATGCTTGTTAAAGTAGGATGCTGCGAGATTCGCATTCTTGAAGATGCTATATGCTTCAATCTGTACGAATAAAACTCCTCCTCTTCCTTCGCAACATCGCGAGCGAGAAATGCGTCGCATCGTCCTACGAAGAACCCTAACCACGCGAACGGCGTCGTAGGACGAAGCATGACCGACGGGAAACGTCATCGCGGAAGGAATGTTCAAGTTGCGAGCGGTACACGAGACAATGTCTCACGAAAGAGCTGATGCGCGTCGAGAACCTGACGTCTATTAATAAGAGCTGATCGAGAACGGAAGTGATGGGAAATCAATCAATGAGTTCTAGATTCTAGATTCAGACTAGGAATAATAATAAGAGCGGATCGAAGGAATGGACTGATGTGATCTCATCCGATGAGTCCTAGGTTTTAGTGTTGAAAATAACGAACCGATCGTCGTTAAAATATATCCACGCGATGATTTGCATTCTAGCAAATGGTCGTCCAGAAAACGATATGACGGTCGTCCAGAGCAGAGCGTTTTGACCTAAAACCTAAGCTTAGCTCAAGCGATTGCTAGTTTTGACGCACGAGTCAATACTAAAAAAGCGGCCATGGACGGACGGACCGAGTTAGCAAGCGCGCCTGAGAGAACTCGCGAGCAGGATCGTGGAAAGGAATGGGAATGGAGTGGGGACGGTGAGAAGCCACGGCATCCACCATGCAACAGAGTCACAAGGCGGAAGGGAAGTTGAGGTGGAGGGGAGAGAGAGGAGAGGGGAGAGGGGAGAGAGGGAGAGGGAGAGGAGAGCTGAAGAGACGGATGTGAGGGGAGGGAAACGAAGAGTCGAGTCGCCATGCAAGCCGAGGGAATCCCAAGGCGGGAGACGCCGCTGCGGAGTCGGGTTGCGGGAGATTTGCGCTGACAAGGCGGGAAGCTTTGGGAAGTTGGCGGAGGGGTTGTGGTGAACGGCGGGGAGCCGCGAAGGCTGGCGAGAGGATTGAGCTTTCGCTAAAGATAGGAATTTACCTACCCCGTTGTGCAAATCATGTAACCGTGTTTTTGCGGGGCAGGTGCTCCTGACATCTACGGCGTTGGGTGGGGTGGTGATAGTGAGGTGGGGTTTGCTGACAAGCAGCAACTTCATTGGCTCGGATCTTGTGCAAGTGTCAGACCACAGTTTCGAATTTGTGTTGACCGTCACGGCAACCGTCTGGAGGGAAAAGCCCTTTTTCGGCACCACGGCCCCTCAAGCGCACAACGAGATATACGTGTTTCGATAAACAAATTATTGCTGTTCACATGTTGATTCAAAGCAAGCATACGGCACTAAACTTTTAGGGACTAAACTTTTAACAAAAATGTCATGGTCAAGGGTGGCTAAATATCAGTTTTTGTGCTTCTCATTATTGCACTTCCCTAATGTCGCAGCATCCATTATAGAAAATTTTGCTAAATAAGGCAACCAGCATATCGTCACCTTTTATGCTTTATACATCGTAGCTCAACGCTGCAATCACATGGTGCGTTGTGGATAAGACGCCCTCAATAGGGGCAAGACCCCAGGGTGAGCTTTGAGTAGAGGCGAAGAGCCATGGGGCAATGGAGGCATTGAAGTCTTCAAAGCGAGGCACGAGTAAAGCCTCCCAGTCCACCTGGATGGTAGATGTATAAATGAAACAACTTTTCAGTAATTGATCGTAAGCCGCCCAGCCTCGAGTGCAACCATGCCTCCAATAAGACTCCTCAGCCTACCTGCACTTCATGGGAGATGAGCGCCGTGGTTTGCATGTCAGCAGCCATGGAGAGGCCGAGGATGGAAACAAGCCCCACCGAGGCTGACACACGAGTCAACGACATCAGCTGGAACCTGTTGTCGTGATGGCCGAGAGGGAGAGGAATTATGGTGGTGGATTGATACTTTAGTTGACTCAGATCACCAAAAGCCCCACCATGGCAGAGCCGCGCATGAGCTGGAACCTGGTTAGTGCAGGCCGTGAGGAAGGGGAGTAACGGCTGTGGGGGAAATAGAAGGAGTGAGGGCCATGCAGCCATGATGCGTGCAAAGAGTTGCAGATGAAAAACAAAAGTGAGCCTGAGCTGTTCATCATTGTGCATGGCCGGCTATACACATGACCCATCCCACACGCATGTTGAGGGGTAAAGGACCCCATGCACAAGAAGCCCAGCATCCCACTGACCAGAAGTACCCCAGCTTTAGGATGGCGTCTTGAATCCTCTGGCGGTAACGATGGGGGTTCTCTGACTGTGTGTATGCATCCAGCACTGCCGCACACAGCGCCTGGTGAGAGAGAGGATGTACAACCAGGAGTGGATGGGATATCATTTCAGAGGCATCTGTGCGTGCAGCAGTGGAATAGTTAGCATGGCTGGGCAGGGGAAACCAACAAAAGACCAAAGGGATTCTTTCAGAGAGAAGAACCGACAGGCAAAAGTAGGTGCAGATGCTTGTGAGATACGCTTGTGAGTCATGCAAGGCTGACCTGCCATGAGTCATGCATGCCTGACCTGCCATCAGTCATGCACGCCAGACCTGCCATGAGTCATGCATGCCTGACCTGCCATGAGTCATGCACGCCTGACCTGCCATGAGTCATGCACGCCTCACCTGCCATGAGTCATGCACGCCTGACCTGGGATGAGTCATGCACGCCTGACCTGCCATGAGTCATGCACGCCTGACATGCGATGAGTCATGCACGCCTGACCTGCCATGAGTCATGCATGCCTGACCTGCCATGAGTCATGCGTGCCTGACCTGCCATGCCGCAGTGAGCTCCTGGTCAAAGTCGTGCCACCGATGGGGGCTGACTGGTGTGTGCGTGTAGAAGCTGAAGGCGTGGGTGCTGGGATGGTGCAGGGGGACAGGCAGGAGGGAGCCAGGAGGCAAGTTACTTGGGTGATTGCGTATAGAAGCTTTAGGCATGTGGGCTGGAATGGAGCAGGGGGGACAGGCAGGAGGGAGCCAGGAGGCAAGTTACTTGGGTGATTGCGTATAGAAGCTTTAGGCGTGTGGGCTGGGATGGTGCAGGGGGACAGGCAGGAGGGAGCCAGGAGGCAAGTTACTTGGGTGACTGCGTATAGAAGCTTTAGGCGTGTGGGCTGGGATGGAGCAGGCAGGCAAACAGGGGCGAGTCGGGAAGGGAAGTTTTCTTGGTGTGTGTGTGTGTGTAGAAGCTAAACGCGTGGCACCGGGAGACAAATAGGGGCGAGCCGGGAGGGAAGTTATTTTGGTCTGTGTGCGTGCAGAAGCTGAATGCGTGGGTGCTGGGATGGTACAGGCAGGCGGACAAACCGGGGCGAGTTGGGAGGGAAGATATTTGGTGTGTGAGTGTAAAAGATGTGTGCGGGATGGCGCAGGCAGGCAAACAAGGGAGAGTTGACAGGGAAGTTACGTAGGTGCTGGGATGGTACAGACAGACAGACAGGGCCGAGTCGGGAGGGAAGTTACTTAGATGTGTATGTATAGAAGCTGAAGGCGTAACTAGTAGATTCACAACGGAGATCTCATTTTGCGCTTGTAAACTAGCAGGAAAATTGATAGCGGCGCTATAACGCTTAGCGACCAGGGTCGGCCGTTGATGTTTCCGAATCTTACGGGATCGTTCCAGGTTGGCCACCAGTAGCGTCAAGTCAGACGAGATCGTCAGACGGGATCGTCAGACGGGATCGCCAGACGGGATCGTCAGAGGGGATCGTCAGACGGGATCGTCAGACGGGATCGTCAGACGGATCGTTAGACAAATATCAAGCTCATAAAACTACGCTTCAAGTTTCAAGCGTTTATAAGGATAGAGATCTCAAACTACACTTGAGCCATTTTCCGCGGACAGCGGACATTGTGAACTGCTAGATTCACAGCGGTAATTTGATTCTACTTAATACTCCTCCGTAGAACCAGGGAGCATCGCGCGTCGCTACTACGCTTCAGCTAGGGTCGACCGCTTATAGTTCCGAATCTTACGGGACCAGCAGCGACTGCCGGCGACCAGCAGCAGCGAGAGCCATTTCCCGCTATCATCACCCCGTGAGCCGCTTCCGCGTCGACTCTTGTAACGAGTATTAACCAACGTCTGTTCGTCGGCGTGTATCCTTGTAACGAGGATTGCCTGTGCCATTATCAGGGCAGTAATTAATGCGCGTAATCTGTACACTCGCGTGCGCCTCGCGGAGAGGACATGAGCACTGAGACGGCGATATTCATTGAGGCTAGACGAGTCGCCGAGGATATCGATCTAGGATTGCCAGGACATCCAATGAAGTACACGACACTGCCGCAGCGCAGTGTCTAAATATACTAAAGCCATCGCAGCGCGTTGTTCGAATCTACTAGGGCAAGTCTCGCAGCGACAATGGCGCGTTTGAATCTCAGGAAACTGGGAAGCCACTATGCAAAACAAATTGATCACTATAATCATCCAGTTGAGATATCTCAGTATCAAATATTCTACCTAGGGTTCCATTTTTATTAGAAGTTCCATTTACTGATCTAATTAGCTGTCTATGTGGCTCTGTTTGTGTACCATCTATCTTCTGTCTGGTTCTGTCTCTACTTTTGTCTCTGGTTCTGCCTCCGGTTCTGTCTGTCAGGCCTGCACATGATCTGGTGCATCAATTGACTGGAAAAATAACATGCTAGCCCATTTGCTTAATTGTCTACCTATTGCAGCAGTAGTTTCATGGTAATTATCCATTCAAAGTTCCTAATGATGATCCGGATTAAATAATTAATTAAAAGTACTATTGTACTACCCATGCACTGTAGGTATGCATGGGTGGTTCCTCTTGGCCGCCAGGAGCAGAGCTCCCAACGTTACACCCAAGCACCGCGGTGAGGTGGGAACCATCGCTCGGGACCCTGTTGGAGGGGAGACAACACAAAAGGATACTGGGGCAGGTGAAAATTATTATGTGACCCTGTTGGGAGGGGAGACAGAACGCAAAAGGATACTGGGTACTTCCCAGGGGCAGGTGAAGAATATTATGTGACCCTGTTGAGGGGGGGGGAGATAGAACACAAAAGGATACTGGATACTGATGAGGGGCAGGTGAAATTTATTATGTGACCCTGTTAGGGGGGGGGGACAGAACACAAAAGGATACTAGATACTGCCCAGGGGCAATTGAAATTATAATGTGACCCTGTTGGGGGGGGGGGGGAGACATAACACAAAAGGACACTGGATACTGCCTAGGGGCAGGTGAGGAGGAAGGGAGAGTTTTGAGAGTGAGTTTCGAGACGTCTCTCGAAACTCACAAGAAAAGAGAGTCTTCCTACCCTGCTTCGCTGCAACCTGTGTTCCCTGCAATCTGCTTCACCCCCTACCCTGCTTCGCTGCAACCTGTGTTCCCTGCAATCTGCTTCACCCCCTACCCTATTTCGCTGCAACCTGGATTCCCTGCAATCTGCTTCACCCCCAACTCTGCTTCGCTGCAACCTGTGTTCCCTGCAATCTGCTTCACCCCCTATTTTGCTTCGCTGCAACCTGTGTTCCATGGAATCTGCTTCGCTCGCAGTGAGCGTTTTTCTTCTACCAGGTCACGTGGCTGCGCTTATCTAGGCCTCTTGCCAAGCCAGCAAGGGCGTGGAAGGGTTTCTAGCATCATTGGTCATCGGTCCTTGAGAATGAAGAGCGCCCGCTGCACTTCCTCCACATGTGTGGATCCTAGCGCGTTTTGAGGCTAGAAGCGCTCGCAGTGAGCGTTTTTCTTCTACCAGGTCACGTGGCTGCGCTTGTTTAGGCCTCTTGCCAAGTCAGCAAGGGCGTGGAAGGGTTGCTAGCATCATTGGTCATCGGCCCTTGAGAATGAAGAGCGCCCGCTGCACTTCCTCCACATGTGTGGATCCTAGCGCGTTTTGAGGCTAGAAGCGCTCGCAGTGAGCGTTTTTCTTCTACCAGGTCACGTGGCTGCGCTTGTCTAGGCCTCTTGCCAAGCCAGCAAAGGCGTGGAAGGGTTGCGAGCATCATTGGTCATCGGCCCTTGAGAATGAAGAGCGCCCGCTGCACTTCCTGCACATGTGCGGATCCTAGCGCGTTTTGAGGCTAGAAGCGCTCGCAGTGAGCGTTTTTCTTCTACCAGGTCACGTGGCTGCACTTGTCTAGGCCTCTTGCCAAGCCAGAAAGGGCGTGGAAGGGTTGCTAGCATCATTGGTCATCGGCCCTTGAGAATGAAGAGCGCCTGCTGCACTTCCTCCACATGTGTGGATCCTAGCGCGTTTTGAGGCTAGAAGCGCTCGTAGTGAGCGTTTTTCTTCTACCAAGTCACGTGGCTGCGCTTGTCTAGGCCTCTTGCCAAGCAAGCAAGGGCGTGGAAGGGTTGCTAGCATCATTGGTCATTGGCCCTTGAGAATGAAGAGCGCCCGCTGCACTTCCTCCACATGCGCGGGTCCTAGCGCGTTTTGAGGCTAGAAGCGCTCGCAGTGAGCGTTTTTCTTCTACCAGGTCACGTGGCTGGGCTTGTCTAGGCCTCTTGCCAAGCCAGCAAGGGCGTGGAAGGGTTGCGAGTATCATTGGTCATCGGCCCTTGAGAATGAAGAGCGCCCGCTGCACTTCCTGCACATGCGCGGATCCTAGCGCGTTTTGAGGCTAGAAGCGCCCGCAGTGAGCGTTTTTCTTCTACCAGGTCACGTGGCTGCGCTTGTCTAGGCCTCTTGGCAAGCCAGCAAGGGCGTGGAAGGGTTGCGAGCATCATTGGTCATCGGCCCTTGAGAATGAAGAGCGCCCGCTGCACTTCCTGCACATGCGCGGATCCTAGCGCGTTTTGAGGCTAGAAGCGCCCGCAGTGAGCGTTTTTCTTCTACCAGGTCACGTGGCTGCGCTTGTCTAGGCCTCTTGGCAAGCCAGCAAGGGCGTGGAAGGGTTGCTAGCATCATTGGTCATCGGCCCTTGAGAATGAAGAGCGCCCGCTGCACTTCCTGCACATGCGCGGATCCTAGCGCGTTTTGAGGCTAGAAGCGCTCGCAGTGAGCGTTTTTCTTCTACCAGGTCACGTGGCTGCGCTTTTCTAGGCCTCTTGCCAAGCCAGCAAGGGCGTGGAAGGGTTGCTAGCATCATTGGTCATCGACCCTTGAGAATGAAGAGCGCCCGCTGCACTTCCTCCACATGTGCGGGTCCTAGCGCGTTTTGAGGCTAGAAGCGCTCGCAGTGAGCGTTTTTCTTCTACCAGGTCACGTGGATGCGCTTGTCTAGGCCACTTGCCAAGCCAGCAAGGGCGTGGAAGGGTTGCTAGCATCATTGGTCATCGGCCCTTGAGAATGAAGAGCGCCCGCTGCACTTCCTCCACATGTGCGGATCCTAGCGCGTTTTGAGGCTAGAAGCGCTCGCAGTGAGCGTTTTTTTTCTACCAGGTCACGTGACTGCGCTTGTCTAGGCCTCTTGCCAAGTCAGCAAGGGCGTGGAAGTATTGCTAGCATCATTGGTCATCGGCCCTTGAGAATGAAGAGCGCCCGCTGCACTTCCTCCACATGTGCGGATCCTAGCGCGTTTTGAGGTTAGAAGCGCTCGCAGTTAGCGTTTTTCTTCTACCAGGTCACGTGGCTGCGCTTGTCTAGACCTCTTGCCAAGCCAGCAAGGGCGTCGAAGGGTTGCGAGCATCATTGGTCATCGGCCCTATGGGGGGACGATTCTTCATGTGGCGGGCCTGTGTGAAGGCAAAAAGAGCTGGAAACTCATCCCAGGGTATCTAGGATTGTGGCAAACACGATCGTGTGTGGCGGTCCAGTTTCCGAGTAACATTGCTTCACATTTTATACCGGTACGGATTTCGCAGCTTTCCGGGCTCATTAACGCCCCTATGGGGGTACGATTCTTCATGCGGCGGGCCCGTGTGAAGACAAAAAGAGCTGGAAACTCATCCCACGGTATCTAGGATTGTGGCAAACACGATCGTGTGTGGCGGTCCAGTTTCCGAGTAACATTGCTTCACATTTCATATCTTTACGGATTTCGCAGCTTTCCGGGCTCATAATCGCCCCTATGGGGGAACGATTCTTCATGCGGCGGGCCCGTGTGAAGGCAAAAAGAGCTGGAAACTCATCCCTGGCTATCTAGGATTGTGGCAAACACGATCGTGTGTGGCGGTCCAGTTTCCGAGTAACATTGCTTCACATTGTTTCCGAGTAATATAATCCAGGGGTGTCTAAGTTAATCTAGGGGGGTCTGAGTTAATCCAGGGGGGTCTAAGTTAATTCAGGGGGGTCTAAGTTAATCCAGGGGGGTCTAAGTTAATGCAGGGGGGTCTACGTTAATTTACGGAGGTCTTAGTTAATCCAGGGGGGTCTAAGTTAATGCAGGGAAATCAAAGATAATCAAGGGGGATCAAAATCAATCAAGGGGGGTCTAAGTGAATAAGGGGGGGGCTCTAAGTTAATCTAGGGGGGACAAAGTTAATCCGGGGGGGTCTAAGTTAATCCAAGGGGGTCTAGGTTAGCCAGAGGGTGTCTAAGTTAATCCAGGGGGGTCTAAGTTAATCCAGTGGGGTCTAAGTTAATCTTGGGGGGGGGGGTCTAAGTTGATCGAGGGTGGTCTAAGTTTTGCCTGAGTTGTCTAAGTTAATCCAGGGGGGTCTAAGTTAATCCAGGGAGGCATAAGTAAATCCAGGAGGGTCTCAGTTAATCCAGGGGGGGTCTAAGTCAATCCAAGGGGGTCTACGTTAATCCAAGGGGGTCTAAGTTAATCGAGGGGGGTCTAGAGTAATCCAGGAGGGTCTAAGTTAATCCAAGGGGGTATAAGGTAATCCAAGGGGTCTAAGTTGATCTGGGGGGGTCTATGTTAATCCAGGGGGGTCTATGTTAATTTGGGGGGGTCTAAGTTAATCCAGGAGGGTCTAAGTTAATCCACGGGGGTCTATGTTAATCCGTAGGGGGTCTAAGTTAATCCAGGTGGGTCTAAGTTTATCCAAGGGGGTCTAAGTTAATCCAGTGTAGTCTAAGTGAATCCACGGGATGTTTAAGTTTATCTAAGGGGGTCTAAGTTAATCCAAGGTAGTCTAAGTGAATCCACGGGAGGTTTAAGTTTATCCAAGGGGGTCTAAGTTAATCCAGGGAGGTATAGGATAATCTAGGGGGGTCTAAGTTAATCCAGGGGGGTCTAAGTTAATCTAGGGGGGTCTAAGTTAATCTAGGGGGGTCTAAGCTTATTCAGGAGGGTCTAAGCTAATCCGGAGGGCGCTCGCGAATGAAAAGCGCCCGCTGCACTTCCTGCA